CAACATTGAGCTTTTCCTGAGCCAGTTAAAAGGGTTTGAAAACTGCACAATGTTGTGACAGGTACTTTTGTAACTCATACATAAGCAGAAATTGATTTGACTGGAGGCACTGAGGAGCTGCACTGAATCCTTGCGACGTCTGTTGGAAGCTGTTGGGTTACTGAGGGAGTGGGGCACTATTTATTAGTGAAACTGATGCAATAAAGTGTCAAGTAGTTCTCGTTTTTGAAGTGTCTGAGGTCATTGGATGAGAAGGGGGATCCACACATCTTGAAAAATTGACAATGATAAATGTGGTTGTTTAGACTGTTCAACAAATATTTCACAATTATTTTATTAAAATAAAAATGCAATAGAAATTTAGTCATTGACTTACATTTGGAATAATATTAAGAATAATTTTCGCTTAGTTTTATGTACATTATATACAAAGTGTTCAGGTACAGGAAACGTTCAGTGGGTGCTTAGAATAATGATGACAGATCCCAAACAATGCTAAGTGCCTGTGTGGAGTAACCAGTCGCAGTATGCAAGGTGAGCAGTATTGATCTGATGCATCCACATAAAGTCACAATCGTGTAGACAGTGCGTCTGTAGTTCCTCCACAGAGCTGACAGGGCTGGTAGTGCCACGTGGACGAGGTCTAACATGGTCATGCAAGCTGACAATGAACATCGGCAGAGCGCAGGCACGACATGCAGCACCGATTGGATGGACTTCAGCCACTTCACAGATCTCCCTCCACAGCACAGAGGAGAGCAGCCGCCGTTTCTGAACGCCTGTGATGAAGGCCAGGCAGAGCAGCTGAAGCGTCCATGTCGGTCCAACTCCTCTCGTGAGTAGAGCACACCTGCCATCATCAGCCTGAGGAGCATGTTCAGCCTCAGCATGGTTGACAGGTAAAAAGTTAAGCCGCTGGTGAAGACGAGCGCAGTTTTCAGAAGGATTTCATTGCACTGGCTGACCACAACAATTGCTTCACATGCAGCTGCGGCGTAATTACAGAAGACAGCCGTGGCTCTTAACAAAGACAGTCTCCATTCTCCAACCATGGGGAGCATTGTGGATAGTTATTCGTCTAAAAGGGCGTCACATAAAGCATGTACGATCCTCTGTGCAGCAGCAGATGCACCAGCCAAGTTCTTCACCGGAACCACAGCTGCTTTAATCAAGGTGTTCAGAATGTAATTAAATAACCATTAACAGCTGTTGTTGTGACTTTAATTGATTGAAGCATATTTTACACAGCAAGAAAAGCACAGATGCAAACAATAACATTAACAATGTTTGTGCTGTCTTTAAGGAAGCCATGTCAGTGACCCACCACGGACAAAACCAGGAGCCTGAACTGCAACACCTGACTGGATCGGAGCCAGGTAAATTAAACAAACTGTGGCGTTTTATAGGTCTGCAGGATATGCAAAATAATAATAATATTGTGATTATATTTGGCAGATATTGCAATATGCAATAGCAATTTGCATTTCATTTTCCCTGAAAAAAATTATTCATGTTCCTTTCTGTTTGGGGAATATGATTTGTAGGCCAGGGCATCTCTGTAGCATTACAACATTTATGGTGCTAACAATGCATAACAATGTGACACATTTTACCTTTATCTAAAAAATTACACCTCCTGTATTTGGATAATGCATATTGCCATATCAATTATATTTTGATTAATTGTGCAGCTCTAGCCTATGATAAATCCAATTTTGTTAAGAATAAATAAGTTAGTCACCAGGAGATGCGCTGATATTTATGTCATATACCAGTAGAGTCAGTGAGTGATAGAACCTTTAAATACTTCAGGTGTAAGATATTTAGTGGATATTAAATGTGTGTTTAGATGCGAGTCTTCTTGCTAAACCATGTTGTTATGAACTTGACCTGTTTTGGATGGTGTGAACGCATAATGAGACAATGGACCTCTGAGCACAAATATGTAAAAAGGCCCTCTACCCCCCCACCTCTCCTATGTAGGAGCAAGACACCCGAACTGAAAGTGACAAAACATTTACAAATGACACATCTGAATACAGTCATTTTGCATCTCTTTCTCGTAGTTTTGAGTCTCTTTGTGGTCACTTTGCTTCTGTTTCTGGTCATTTTTTAATGTCTTTGTAGTCATTCTGCATCTCTTTGTAGTCTACTTTCCATAAACAAATGTTAACACTCACTTCAAACATACAAAGGCACTGGTTCCTGACCCCCTGTGAGCTTGGGTGTGTGCCCTGTAGGCCCATTCAGTAAGTCTTCCATCCTGAAAGGTTTTTCTAAACAAAATTTTATCATGATCTTTTCTTAAATCTTTTTGGGAATCACCCACATGTTTCTGAGGAGCAGTTTTGAAGCTAAGAGAGGGCTGCTTTGCCATTGCCATCTTGGCAGTGTCTGACTGACGCCTAGCTCCCAGCTAATCCAAAAATTTGCAAAGAGGTGGGAAGTATGTGGAGCCTAGACTTCTGTGCATGCTTAATAACTGTGGCAAGCATATGCTCCCGTCAGCATCAGAGCACAGCTAGTCAGATGGGAGTCTTGCTTGAAGGCTAACCCAAGGCTAATCAGTTTGCTGGCTAATTAGCTACTTAACGAGCTATAAAATAATACTACTCACCTCAAGAAGCAGGAGCATCAACACCACAAACATGGCAGAGAGGTCACGTTCATTGACTCACATTAGCTGAGGTGACGCCTGGCAGACAGTTAGCTGCCAGACAACTGTTATTGGTACCCACCTGTCACAGGTGAGTATAAATTGGAAATCAGCTATAGAGACCAAAACTGTTTTCTAAACTGTTGCTGTAAACATGTTTATTTCTGCCGCTGGGCTTTTTAACATGTGAGTCCATGAGGATTGACCGAGCCAGCCTCAAGTGGCCATTCAAGGAACTTCCATGTTGGCTTCATTTCTCAGCCCTGGAGGCTGCCACTTGGAGACAACCAATCAAAAAGACATTTGTATATGGACAATGTATGAAAAGACAGAAATGACCAAAGTAAAAATTGTGACATCCTACTTCAAAAAAAAAATGCAATTAACAGAACACTGATCTAAAGACTTATAATGAACAGCATTCAGTATTTATTATATTTTAAAGTAAAGCTTCTTGACAAATATGATTCTTTTGAGGAGCAAAATCCAGTGTTTTTTAAAGCTTGTTTAATTAGTAAGTCTCACTAGCAGCTGATGAATCATTTAAGACATTGATAAGCACACAGATTTCTATATGACATCAGAGTACAATAAGATGATTTTCAATTATGTAATCTATGTCGGCCAGACACCAGTGAATGTTGGTTCATGATAAACCTGGCCTCACTTATAGTGCTGACACAGACTCAAGAATAAATCCAATAAACTGTCAGTCACAAATTATCTCTGATCTTTAAGTTTCATAATGCCTATTGTTGTTGATTTTTTTTTTTTTTTTTTTTTTTTTTATAATATGGGGAGATGTCTGTGTAATAGTTATAGTCTATGATGTAATGTTTATATATGCATATGTTAGACATCTGTGCCGTGGTTTAGACAAAGTGGAACCAAAACCTGGAAACCTACTCAAGAAAAACCTGACAGGGAAAATTCCCTGTAAACAGCCAAAATATTAAATGTCTTTGCATCTGGTCAACTACAAGTGACAGGAGAAAACTTCAAATCTTAATCAAAGTCACTTTCCTCGAGACACTCACTCAGAAGCTATAGCTTGTTATTTCACTCTGTCCTGTCCCCAAATTATGTCGCGAACGATTAGCACCAGTACGCCTTTCCTGCAGCCTGTCCACATTTCCTGAGGATTAGATGGTGTCTAATATTTTCCAAGATAGCTCACTCCATTCGTGCATGTGACATAATGCAACATATGAACATCTGGAATCAGTTAGCCATGCGCTGCATATTCTTTTCTCTTTTTTCCCCCCTATCACAGGGAGTGAGTGAGGTGCACTGTGCTTTTTGTATTCAGTTGCTCTCCACTGTGTGACCTCAATGATCCCTGTGGCAATATCAGTTGTCCAACTTACTGTTAAATCAAAGAGGATAGAATAAAACGTTGTACATTCAATCTTGGAGTTACAGAATGTCTTGATATCTCAACATACAATATACTACAATAAGTGGCATGTGGGAGACATTCTGTAGAGTTGGGGAGAAGGAGGAGTACCGTGCATAAAAAGTGAACAAAGGAAATATGGGAGTAAACCCATAAAGTCTTTATAGGTTTTTGATGAAAGCTTAGAGAACAAACTACTGCTCAGTGGCCGTTTTCACCTTGTCAGGAGGTAAATCCCAATAGTTTACAAGTCAGTAATTGTATTTGAACAAAAACGGAGACCAATTTTATACACTGAAATTGTTTACTTTCATTGTCAATGGAATAGACATAGGCGTCTACATACTGTGTTGATAGAAAGTTACAATCTGTCTTACTGATTGCTAAAGATGGCCTTGCAATCTGCTTTGAATTCTGCTTAGACTCCTCTGATCACCATCAAAGAACAGCTTCATATTAACCTCTAATTTGATTTGATCTACAGTGAACTTAATATGAGCCATGAAACGGCATGCTTTTATCATGATCCAAGCTTTGAGGAACTGAAAGCACCTTGTGCATACAAAAAAAAGAAAAACAAAAAAAAACATAATTTTGTTAAAGTTGATGAAACTGGCAACTGCGGGACTGGCTGTCACAAATACATCTAGTACATTAGTCTCTCTTAATTTCTGACACACACGCATACACACACAGATATCTGAACACACATGGTTATATCAAAATGATTATTTACATAAAACCCAGCTATTGCAAAAGTCCGTGGCTGGATGAGCAAGACAATGTGCAAAGCTAATCCCTGATTCTGATGTATTTTTGTCCACATCTTGATAGACAGAGCATATGCTATAGCACAGTCATCTTGGCTATAGTAATAGGTCTAGTTTAGTCTCTAATTCCAAGTTTATTGTTTACTCTGATGTGCACAAAAAATAGGCTAGCTGTGAGTGACATTAGGCTGGTTTAATACGGCATGGAAGTCAAAAGTTGCAACACGTTCAGATATGTTGCATTGCTGTTTCAATATGATTACTGTACATGTGTTTATCAGCAATGTTTTTTTTTCTAACCTCAAAAATCCAAACTCAGGAAATGTGATCTATTCAACAAATATACTACAAATAAAAAATGTGTTTATGTTGTATAAAACAAGGTAGAAATGTTATCAAAAGAACAAAACTGACTCGAACACTATTGCATGCAATTGCTCAACATTCAAGAATTCAAAAACAGGGATTTTCATATTCCTATAAAACATCTTTTATCTCTTATCAGGAAAGATAGGAATGTTACATAGGCACATTTTTTAGTGTCATGATCATTTTGAACACGACTGTGCTCCTTGTTGAGGGCCTTTGTACAGAGGCATTCGTACAAGCTGGTTAGGGTTCATCCAATCTTGTGTCCTCGTGGAGGGGAGAGCAGGGCCTGAAGCAGCTCAGAGGACCATGGAGGCAAATGTTTTTGAGCCGGCCTGCAAGACCTCATTTATAGGGAATGTCTGTGTAATTCAAGCATCAGAGCAATTGCACTGTTGGGCTAGATGTGTACAAAAGTCACTGTAGACAAATAGCTGAAAACGAGTCCTGGCTGCTCCCCCTCACAAGGCAGAAAGGCCACAGCCTGCTGAGCGTGGCATGAGGTGCTCATATGTCCTCGCTCGCAGGTACAATCAAGGATGGTCATGTGCTGATCGCTGGTGGGACTCCCTCTTTCAAACTTGTGGGACTCTCTCCTGCCTCCTGCCAGAGTTTTTACAGGCCAGGGCGAGGCGGTGGGCGTGCAGGTGGAGGGGCTCGTCCGGGAGGAGGTCCCTGTGGAGGAGGAGGCAGGGAGCCAGTTGGGGAGGCAGAGGGTGGAGGGGTGGGTGGGAGCGCTGGCGAGGCAGGTATGTGCAGGGTGGTTGGAGGAAGAGCCCGGTTTGGAGGTGGCGTGTAAGGTGGAGGAGTGATGGGAGGAGAGGGAGTGTCGGAGGTGGGAGGAGGTGTTGGAGGCAGTGGTGGAAGAGCGGAGGAGGAGAAAGACGGAGATGATGGAGGGCTATTGGGAGTCGGTGGGAGGGTGCCCTGCGGCGGAGGTGGACTCTGGCTAGGGGGGTTGTAGATGGGAGATGGCTGGTGGCTGTAGTGTGGGTAAGGAGCAGGGGGAGACTTTATGCGAGTGAAGTTCATGCATTTGCCCTGAAATTTAAAAGCAGACCAGATTTTAGAGGGACATACTGTGATAATAAACAACATATTGTATGAACAATGAAATGTATCTTCTGTTTCACTTCAGATGATCTCACTTAGGTTTCCTTTCCTTCTAAAAGGTTTATTTTCCCTGCGCAGGGAATATTTTCCTTGCCACATTCCAATTTTTATGATGCATATATAATGAGATGGACATGTCCATTCATTTCCAAAGAAGTGACTGGTCCAGGGTTTGTGTGTGTGTGTGTGTGTGTGTGTGTGTGTGTGTGTGTGTGTGTGTGTGTGTGTGTGTGTGTGTGTGTGTGTGTGGGGGTGTGTGTGTGTGTGTGGGTGTGAGAGAGTTGTAACATCAGAGGAGCAATCAGGAGGACTGAGCATAGTGTTGCTACTTGAGTCTGAAAATCACTCCCTCATTCACTCATTTACTCCCCAACGGACCCTCAGTGGTTTACTGTATAGTGGGCAGAAAATCCAGATATTGGACAATTATGAAAGGTTGTAACTTTGCATCATCCCTGGCAAGTGCAGTAACTCAAGTCATTTTTGCATTGTATTAGGGATACTAACTTTCTTCATTAAATGAAGATACCCAGTGCACATCATGTTAATTGTACATATATTGTATGGCATACTGCTGTAGCATTTATGTATAAACTCTTGTGTTTTAACAGTTTGTTTCTTATAATGTCTGTAATGAAACTTTGGACTTGGAAAATGACATCCTTGCTGTAGACCTTTTGCTTTTCTAAATCTTAATTCTTTGACAAAAAAACTCTACCCTACTTTTCTCGTTCTTGTTCTGTTCCAACAGATGAATTAGTCTAAGATATAAAAATGTCCCTTGCTGCTTTCTGTTACCAATCAGATGGACTGATGACTAGAGCAGACAGTACTGGGACTCTCATACTGTAGCCTTGCCTATTGTCAGCTACATGACTGCGCTTTTAACCTCGACCTACATATGATGTAATTCTCAATCACTTTTTGTAGCAATTTTAGTTATAGGCAATTATGTGTATATGCTCTACTCAGCTGAGCAAGTTAACCTGCCATCACTCTCCCCGATCCAAATCCTCCGAAGTGAGGTCATGCAAGAGAGACTATCATATTCCAGAAACAAGCTACACCCCTGGAGCAGCTGCACTAAGGGATCAAGGAGTTGCATTGTACTGATAAGCAATGACAGCTCTGCTCTCATTACCGCCGGGTTGAAATGACCTCTGAGACCAAACCAAGCAAAAAGATGTATGTTCAACATTTGACAAGTCCAACCAATCCAACCAATATTTTTTTTATTCCTTTAGTGCATGTGGAACGCTGAATGCCATGGATCTTTGTGTCTCTGGAACTGCACTTGTATCATAATCACTGCTACAGAATTAGTCAGCACTGGAGAAAATATGTGTGAAAGTCTTTTAAGATATCTGATGTCGTTGATGTTGATTTCTTTACTAATTACAAAGAACACAGCGGTCTTTAGGGGCTCAGAAATATATTAGACGTTACAGGAACCTGACTTGAGTTTCTCTCAGGGAGGCTGTAGGATCGACTGGCCGCCTCCCTCCCACTTCTGCATTCATTTAGGGGAAGTTATAAAAGCAAGGCTTTGACCAGAGACTCCTTAATTCCCAGCAGAACAAGCTTGTTTACTGTAAATCAAAAAGGATACTAGACCCAAACTTTTTTTTTTTTTCCAGTGCACTAATGAAGAGCTTTATAGTGAGGAAGGCTCACTCACACACTTCTAATTACAGAGTGGTGTGTTAGATATACATATATATGCATGTCCTCAGTATCAAGCTGCTGAGTTACCTGAAGGCAACATAAACTGGCCTTGCTGACTGACTGACTCACAAATAAACAACAGTTCATTGGATCAATCTGATCAATCAAATATGCCAAAGCTTAAGTCATAGCTAGTCATGTTCTTCGTTATCTCGAGAGAGTCTTGTTAGCATCTTCACATGGCCTCCTCCATCTCCAACGACCATGTCACAGACATTCAAGCCTTTCTCCTTTCATCTTTGTCCTCCCGTAAGCTCCCACTCTCCTTCACCTCCTTGTGTGTCTTATTTCCATCTCTGCTCATCAGCGTCTTTAGTCTCTACTGCACACTGGAAATTAGGCTTGAGAATTTCTTTTTGAGAGGCATCCTCGCCTTGGAGCATGACATTTATTCCCCCCTCCTCATGCCTGCTCCCAGGCCTCAAACTCTGCTCACTGTGGAAAAGCTCGGTATTATTTTTACAGTCATTGAACTGTGCCTGAAGGATCTCATAGTCTCTGCGGAGTGCTTTGTTTTCTCTCTAGTTCTGCAGTGGTCGGGTAGAGACTCTCAATGTGTTGCATTAAGGTCTCATTATTTCGACACAGGGCCTGGTTGTTTCTGTGGAAGACTTCATTTTGTTATTGCAGGCTTTCTGGAGCCATTCATAGGCCTCAAGCATAAAAGGCTACAGATAAGGACTTATTTTACTTATTGTTAAATGTGATTACAAACTAATTTTTATACTATTTAGCCAAACTTAGGGATTTGGGAAAAAGGGAGTAGAGCTATGTATTTTTTCTATTCTTATGTTAATGAGAAGGTGCCTCGTGATATTTGATGTGTGATGCACCGTGTGATCTTAAATTTATGTTTGTGGAGACATAAATTAATGTTGATATACACATTGGTGGTAAAATCTATTTTAAAAAAAGTTGATATTTTCTTAAATCGTGTGCAGATGATTAAAAAAAAACGTATTGTCTTTGGTGACTTTGAAGTCTCTAATAATTAGAATTAGTGCAGTACAAATTAAATAATCCACACCATGTATTTCTTTCCAGAATGAGAGGGGGTGTAATGGCAGGCTGCAGACATGACTAACAATCTGCCCTCTTGCTGTAGATATTTTATCAACTGAGGGTGACAGCTTTTACAATCTAAAAACATTTGTGGATGATAGATATTAATAAAAAAAGAGCTCTTCCAGCTCCCACACTATCTTCAGTTTAGACTGTTTGATATTTTCAATGTCGATAAGCATATCTGCTTGTTGGAGAGTCTTTGATCGAAGTTGCATTACACTGGAACTGCTAGAAAAATCACTGAACGCATTTGTTTACTTGACAATCTGACAGAATCAGAAGATCAACAGACATGTGAAGGCTCTGCTGATGTTGTATTTGAATTGTAAACCCCCCAAATCTTCCATGACCAGATTATTTCTGTCAGTTTGTTGCGGCATACAGTATCACATACCACGTGCAGCTCATTGACGCTCCACTGAGTGAAATATTCATATTTTAATGGCTGCACCATTACCTCAGATGAAAATATCTTTTCTATCTTTTCAGCATTTAAGACACATTTCCACATCAGTAGTCTGACACACTGTAGTTGGCATCTTCACAAGTTTCAAATAAATTACATTTTACCTGGGCCTCGGTTATCCTTCTCAACTCATGTTACTGCCAATTGAAACAGCAACACTTGATAATAGGAACAACTGTTCCCCAGACTATGTGTATATGAAGGCCTTTTTTAAAACCAGTGGACATAATTGTCTGGGTTGTTTGTACAGTCACAACTGAAGTTTATATCAAATACACTATAGATTACACAAAAACAGTTATGTAACAAGTAACCTTGACTAGAAACTAAATGTTTGCAGAAATGAATTTACAAATTTCTAAAGATCTTTTTCAACTTTGAGGGTTTCTCTTAGATCGACAGTTTTCTGTTTTACTCAGGGAAAAATTAAATATTACATAAACTCTTGTAGGTGAGGGATTTCTATATACAGAGCTGCATTTTTTCAGCACTTGTAGATCCCACAGTCAGACTACATGTCAGCTGCCAACAGCAGAGGTCACCCCCCCCCCCCCCCCCCATGCCTTTTCATAATGACTCCGCCAGACGTCTTTACATTGCAGTGCACTGAAGACTAAACCCCAACTCACCGCAAGTTTTCCCATGAGTCTCTCTATGCACACTTCATCGCTCACAGCTGGTCCATTCTCTCAACATTGTCAGATAGAAAAGAATCTGCCTGTTTGCCAAATGCTAATTCACAGCCAAGCGCTTACGTCAGTTGATAAAATACGGGCTGATTAATGATGCATGTTTTAATGCGTATCTGTGAGGCTTTTGTGTTGTTCTTACCTTGTCACCTGGATGAGGTCTCATTACAGACACACGGTCGTAGCCTTTCCTTAAAAGTACCCACAGTGCATCCAGTTTGCTCTATGGAAACAGAGAAGAAATCAAAACATTACTGTTACAGTTATCTTAAATTAACGTAATCCTTAAGGAAACAACTGACAAATTAAAATGACCAGTATTATTCCATTCCTGCATTCATTTCAAAGTGTCAACCCGAAATAGTTTCAGTTCATTGTGAACTGACTCTTCATAGTTTTAAACACAGCAAATACTTTGAGGATAAGAGCAGAAAATGCAGCTGTTTTTCCTCACAAAACTGCTGGCTGTGCAGCCCTGCTCCCTGGAGGTCAGTCCAACAGGAGTCTGGTTTCTATTAGCAATCCCCTGCTGACTGGGAAGGCTTCAGAATGACTCCTTTAACCCCATGCTGGCCCTGGAGGAAGGGACTGTGTGCCAGTAGTCACCTAAGCATTATTACCTTCACACATCTCATGCTAATTCCACTACGACATTTTAATAATGCTATTACTTATGTATCCTCAGCCAGATTAACATGGAGTGATTTGTAACAGATTTTGTAATCTATACAGTATAAATGAAAAAAAAAAAAAAATTGTCCCCAAGCAGAGCTGTTAAACAATCACAACTGCTTTTTTAAATTAAATGTAAGCTGAGCTATATTCACAGATTTCTTGAACAAATGTCTCGCAAATCCTCGAGCATTTCTTATTTTTTATGTCAAACAGATGAAACTCATAATTCCTATATGGCTGCCATTTTTAGTTGTCATCAACAATCAGACTTGAAAGAGCATCTGCAGACCAAACGTGCTCCCCAGACAGTTTCCTCCTGGCTCCTCACTCTGGTACCTTGATTGGTGAGTACCACTTGCGTGGCCCTGGGGGTTTGTGCATGCCATTGTTGAGAACCCGCATGGGGGGCAGAACATACTCCTGCTCAGGCATCTTCACTTTGGCATTTTTGGCCTTTTCCAGCTTTGCCCCTTCTTCTGTGGAGCCTTTCTCACCCCAGCGTACCTGATAATAGAGAGTCCAAGATCCATGATGGTGCCACACACTACCTTTTTAATGTTTTACATCACTGGCAAATGTAGAAAAAGATGGTCAGGTATGTATAATTGTGAATCTGTCAGGCATAGATGAGATGCTCTAGCAAAAGTGCAGTTAAAGTGAGAGCCGTAAAGATATTTGAACTGAAAGTGTTGCGGTCCTGGCCAGGCAGGTTACTTTTGAGGCTCATCCTCGCTATTTAACGCAACATATAGTTTAGAGTGCATGAGATTTACTAGATCTCACCTCCATCCTTTTGATTCCCCCAACTCCTCTTCCTCCGTAGTAGGAGGCATCTACAGTCGGCCATTTCTTCTTAGGGGCTTCAAAGTCCTCATCATCCTATGGGGAAGTGATGAGGAAGTCAGTGTTATTGTAATACACTGATCAGCAGAACATATGTAAAGTATGCTATACAGTTGTTGTGCAGTAAAACGGCCCCTGTTTTACCATTATATATGTTATGTTTGGATTAATATTACTGCTGCATCAATGGGTATGGTGTGTTTTACTGCTGCTGATGTTTAAAGTTGAGCTAATTGCAACTAGTTTGTATATGTTTGTAGTGTTGCTGTCTTGTGAGAACCATGTATCTCTTAAAAGTCATTTTTTTCACAAGCTCAGAGAAACAGCCCTGTTTTCAGCTTTGTGACGATGCATTTTCCAGCAAATCCGAGAGGGTTTTTAAATTGTTTATTTAGCTTAAGAAGTAGGAGGATTTTCTTGACAGATAAAGGAACATCTAATTCAAAATCAACACATTTGGAGATACATGGTTTTCACTGGACAGGGAGGATATGAAAATGTGTAACTACAGCTGCCAGACAAAGGTAGTGCAGTATAATATTTGCCCCTGAATGTGGAGTAGAAGTATAAAGTGACATAAAATGGAACCACTTGAGTAAAGATCAAGTACCTCAAATTTGTACCTAAGTGTACAGCCTACTACTTGAGTAAATGTAGTTGGTTACATTCCACCACTGAGCGGCAACTAAAGCACAACAAATAGGTAAATTAACCTTTTATTTGTGTTTTATTTTCTCTTTTTCACATACCGATTGAACACCTTGGAGCTACCGGGTATAAACGCCTTCTCAAAGGTCACCTGGTAGTTCTTTTGAAGTAAATATGTCTCTATCTGCTCTACCCCACTCTAACCCCAGCCCTCATTTCTGTCCCTGCTTGTCAGAAATTACAAATGCTTTTTAATACACCCTTGTCTGACTCATAATCTACCAGGATGTCATACAGAGGAAGGCATAATGAAGTCTAAAAGTTGTCTTTGAGGCCATGGTTGGAGTCTGTTTTTGAAATAAATTCACCAGTTAAACCTAATTTTCAGTTTAATTGGTGCATATAAATGCAGCTTGATATGCCCCGCAGTTGCATGCTAGCTCGCCGTTATTGCATCGAGTGTTTGGGCGGTATTTTAATAACATGAATTTGTTGAGCACGTTCATGTGAAATAATGTTATTAGTCAGTTAAATTTCACATTATATTCCATGAGGGCCCAAACAGCTCCAGGGGAAGTGATTTGAAAAACATGAATTAAAATCTTGATTACGAGACAGTCCCCATTAAAACAGGACAGAGGGGAAAAAAAGAGCAGTAAAAGTCAGGATTTTGTTGTTATTCTAAGAGGGCGTTAACTCACATCATATTTGATGAATCGCTAAACGAGTGAAATCAGAGTTTTGTGCCAGGGAGTGAGTGAATGATGCTGACTGAGGTTTAAATTGTCAGAGTGAACTCAGTAATTACACAACCTAAACACTGGCAGCTGTCTACATCTTAAATAAAGAGCTTTTTTTTGAGTCATAAGAAACAGATCAAGTGACGACGGTGCAGCTCCTACCGAACTCTCCTCCACAACCGGCGGTGGGGGTTCATGGATGATCTGGGGGGGGGGGAGAAAGAATGAAAATGAGCTCAGAAGATGAGGCATAAACACATGTATCAAAATTGTTTTCTTTTTTTTTTTTTAATCACTATGTTAGAGCAATGTGTGTAACTGTGTCAACTGTGTGCAGCAAGATGGTTACACAACAACACATGGCTGAGGAATTGTTTTTTTCCTACTTACAAGAGCAATGCACTGACCTAGAAATCTGCTATCCAGATTTTTCAGCCTGAAGTTGTTGATTAGGAAAAGAGAGGAGTAACAGGCTCATAAATACAGCTCTTATTTTCTGTATGGAGCTATGTTATAATGTTGCTGATTTTTACTCTTTGTGCATTTAGTCCCATTTTCAGAGTATGTCATACAGCTGCGTCATTGGACACAGACAATGTATTTTTAAGCATCTACAGTTTAGTCTGTGTCATACCCTGGTACCCTTTTGCCCGATTATATCTCACCACATGAGCTGTCAGTGTGTTTTTCACCAGTGTAATAAAGACATTTTCCTCTACATTGAATGAACTTGGCAAATTAAGAAATCCTGAATCTTATTTGTGATTTTCCTCCATGCTTCTCCAAAGCCTGGAACACGAAATGATTCCCCATGGTAACCTAGGATCGCTTTCCTAAACAGACTCGCTGCACAGACTTGAAATTGCAACTAAATGGACAAGAACAGAAAAAGTAAAGGGAGGTACAGCCATGTTGTAAAAGCTGACATCTCTCTCTGGCAATTCACAGCTTTCCTGTTTCCAGCCCTGGAATCATTGCAGTGGATTTTGAAGAGACACTCCACTTTTCATTTGAAAGGAGAAATGCAGATTATAACAGAGAGCAGCTGGTAACAAGAAAGTTTTTGAAATAATGTGATGCTGGCAATTTGACCACTGTCTAAATCATGGCACAGGTATATTTTTTCCAGACGCATTTCCCCTTTTTACTGTATCCAGAGCAAACGACTGTCATAAAAAACACTTTTAAAACAATTTTAAATAAAACCTTTTTATTCCTGGTGAGTTATCTTGCTTCTAAAAATCTCATAGTAACAAAGACACCAACCAAAACATTCAGCCTATGTGGGTTTCTTGTTCCCACATCACTAGCTGGAAATTCAAATTACTCCGAGCCATTATTGGTGGAAGAATTTGTTAAGTCCTTCAGAACATACTGAGGGAGCATTGAGAGGTGATACTCAAAGGTCACCTGCTGTGACCTTTGGAAACGCAAATTATTTCAACAGCAGCATAATTACTTAAACACACGTTCACCCAGTGGCCTTGACCTTTTTCTGGTTGTGGACTATATTCAGCTGAAGGGATTCAAAGGAGCCATACACCCCTATTGACTCACAGATTCTAACCTTCTCACCAGGGAGTGTTGCTTAAGTTAGCCAGACAAGATAGACCTGGAAAAGACATTTCTCTCTGTTGTTATTGTCCACAAACAACATTGCTGCTTTCCAAAAGTCTTTGAAACCATCTCAAATTTGAAGAAGAGTAGACCAGTGGCAATCTGTAGAGCAGCAACGTGTGCATATTATTATTGCATTAGTGTTTTAGAAAACTCACCACAGTGCAGCAGAGAGGCCAGAACCACCATAGAAGAGCCAAGACCAGGAGCAGCATGAGGATGAGCAGAGCTATGGCCAGGATGGTCCCATCAGACTGTAACAGAGACAGACACGTCAACACAGACAGTCTGAATATGTAGAGCAATAAATCCGTGTAAACCAATTCTCTAGGCTTTATGCTTCATGCAGCAAAGAGGCTGTTTTGCTTTCATCTTCCATGGAATCACTACTGAAAGACAGTATCTGCTTATCCTGCAAATCTCTAATTAATTTTCATCCATCATTTAGACATCTTTCTAAGTTTGTATTGCACTGTTTGGATTAGTTTTAGTGTTTGGATTGCTTTCACTGGTTTGTTGTCTGTTGTTAGTCGTTTTTTTTTTTCTTTTGCAATGCACCATGACCTCAAAAGAATCCAAGTTCAAAGCTAAATTATGGTACATTATATTGTACTCACACAGCCCACAGTGGTAATTGTGACCGAACTGGAAATGAAACTGAGACCTTCATTCATACTGACATAAAGGTTTGCTGCCCTGGAAAAGAAAAAGAAAATGTCTCAGCTGTCATTTATGCAGCGTCTTAGAAAAACCGTGGATGGTGTCATATGAAACCTCACATTCATTTGAATAAATGCAAGGACTTACATCCCCTCATCTTGAAGCACTGGTGCAGGGCAGAGAAGATAGGTATCCTCCACAATCAAAGGCTTCACCACTAAAGCAGAAGAGGGAAATGGATTATAGAAAAAAACAGTGCAAGCATCAGCCAAACATTCCAGTCTTGTCTTATGTTAATAGTCAGTAGGAGTCACTGACATACAAAGCTCCTGAAGCAGGAGTTTGACCCACAAATCATGACCCGAATCACCATTAAGATTATGTCATTGTTTAGCCTGATTACAGAAAGATTATTTTATTGATGAATTAACGCCCCATGACTTCATTTTAATTCAATAACTGTTGAGAAAGCAGAGAAGGGAATCCATCCATGTTCACAGAAGTTGATGTCACATCTTTCACTCGATTAACAAACCATCTGAGATGAGAGATTAAAAAAAACTGCTTTGTTGTCTGCTGTCTGAAGACATCTGTATCCTCCCCAGATACACCGCTACAAACTATTTCACCACAGCTTTTGTTTTTCAGGCAAAATCTAGGCCCTGGTCTCATCCAGCTGGCTTTTAGGAAAGTGGCTCCAACAAGCATCTTCGCCCAAGCCCGTCTGTTTATCCTGGCGAGGGGCAAGCATACCCCAGAACTGAGCAAATCAACACAATCAATCGCATAGGTCGTGACTTCTCTTCTGTTGAAACACCATGCGGGAGGGGGGGGCTCAACTCTGACAAAAACAGCTGAGCGCCAATACAAACTGGGCCAGATATGGTCACACTCAGAGTTCATCTCTGCACCCACCTCTCACTCAGAATGGCCTCACACTATGAAAGTAGGACAAAAATTACAAACTAAAGATCTACTTAGAGCTGATGGCAAATATCCCTTGTCCATGTCACAATATTTTATTGGACTGTTTAATGGTCATGTTTTCCTGTGCAGACAGTTACCCAGAGTTCAACTTTAATTATTTGGAATTATTGTTTAAGATGGCATTCAATCAAATTCATTGGGACTGATTGGTGGCAAGTTTAACAAATTTGTGTAAAGCTATTTTAACTTATCAGACTAATGACTAATGACTAATCATGTCTGTACGGTAAAATATTAACATACAGCCAGAAGGTAGTTAGCTTAGCTTAGCATGAAGACTTGACACAAAGGGAAACAGCTATCTTGGCTCTGTCCTAAAGTAAAAAATCTGCTTAACAGCACTTTTAAAACTCACTAAAAGCTCACATTATATCTGTTTGCTTAATCACATAAAAAAAAGAGACAAATTTTGTTTTTATGGATTATGAAATAAGTCGGCCATTTTCTTGGCTGGAAGCAATGACTTCCAGGACTCTTGTTGTCATGTGATGTTTCCATTCAACCAGCGAAGACTCCAGAAGGTCAAACCACAAATTGTCAGTTTCTTACCTTCTTTTTTGTACATATTAAACAAATTAGTAACCCTTGAGGGGACTAGTAGGTGGATTTTGTCACCTTCCAACAAACCCAAGCTAGCTGTTTCCCCCCTGTTTCCACTCTTCATCTTCTCATTTTACTTTTGGCAAGAAAGCGAAAAAGCATATTTAGCAGAATGTCTACTCCTTTAGGACTTGTCTCTCATTATTCACATAGTTCAGTTTTGTCCACTGCAGCGTCTGTCACCAAAACAATGGACAGCTCAGGATGGGACTCAGCCAAATCCCAAAGCACCTGAATGTATTTGCTGCTACTTTTTCCTGGCAGCACAAACTCAAACATTGATTCATCTGCTCTACACATGTTAGTTACATATTGTTGTTTTCCTTTTTACCATTTCACCATATTTGCAAAGAAGGCTGAGGGCTGGAGCAGGGGAGTCAACAAGAGCAAGTACAGATGTATTATAAGAGAAATGTGTTCTTGTTTTCTTATAGACTATAGACTTTATCTCCCGGCGAGCTAAATGTGCCCTAATTATTTTCATTTAAAGTTTACCCCCGATGGGAAGTAAACAAGTTCCAGGGAAGTGTGTGTAAACATTCTAGAGAAATGAATGAATCTGGAAGAGGAGTGTACAGCATTGACATAAGGAGATAATTTTACTCAAATTGGTTCCATGTCCTTTGTTTGTCTGCAGGAAGTTGTGTCTTGTGTCATGCAGAAATAAGAATGATTCAGAGGGATTGTTAATGTTTGATTAATGCTGAGAAGACTTTTTTTTGTTTTACTTTGTAGCAAGAATAGGATTTAAAGAACAACGTGCCTGCGTTGAATGTTGATGGCCTCACCAAAGTACCCATGACTAAAGTGAAGAAAACCTCCCCTCTGGGTAAGTAAGTACTGCACGTGTGGTAACATACATACATTTATGCAGTATATCCATGAATGAGGTTTAAAAAAACATGAGAAAGTAGATGGGTAACCATCATGCACCATCAAAAGAGAAGACTTGGAGAGAAACAACATCAAAGAGAGTTGACAATATACACAGTGGCCACAATTTTCTTAGATAGGGGAGACCGAAATTACAATCATCAGTTTTTTCTGACCACTATGGTGCAATTTTGTTTATTTTCTGCTATTATTTCTATTGTTTCTTATTAGATGTTTATCATCCATTAGTGTCATAGCCTGTCAAATATTAGCCTGTACAACAACAAACCAGCCATAAACAGGGGCACAGAGTCAGAGGGAGCTTGTCTTCAACCAAATCAAATTTTTACTCCCCTTCCTCGAAAACATTCACATTATTAAATCCAGAGCTGAACCAGAGCTGTGGAGAAATGCTTCCATGTAAGAAAAAAAGAGTGACCCAAAATATGGTGCTATGTAGGGTGGCAAGTAGGGTGACCAGACCAGTAGCCACCCGAGGCCACCCCACGGCTCCGTCACTGAGTATAGATAAACTGACAAAAAATGAATGACGGTCAATTAATTTATTCCATATTTGATTCAATGTGACGTCTATTCATCAGTTCTACACCAGAGGACCAAACAGTTTGTTTGTGCCTCTACTCTGAATGAATATCTTGCTTTGTAATTAAACCAGCACCTCCTGTGGCAAGCATGGTAGGAAGTGGTTTTAACAACTATTACAGTGAGCCACTAGTAAGAACCGTGAGGAAACTGTTTGTATCCTTGAGGCCTTTTCTTTCCCTCTGCCTCGTGTGAGGTATCATTTCTGGCTGGTTTCCATGTATTACAAGTTCACAGTGTGTTGTTTAAAACAGAAAGCCATGATAGCGGTAACACTGTGTTTAATCAAAGAGGATTCCAGCTGTGCAGCTGACTTTGTGTTTGACGTTTGGGACGCTCAGCTAAGCATTTCAGAAGAACTTTATAATAGCCTGCTCACTGAACTGTGCCAGCTGTCAGTGTGTACTCAGTTAAAACACTCATGCATTCAGAAACAGAGCATGTACATAGTGATGTTTCAACACTTCAGTGATGTTCAGTCACTCACTTCTAGTGAGGGTGTCGTTGATTCGGAAGCTGCACAGGACTTTGTCAACATTACGGGCATGGAGGAATCCATTTCCTCTCACCACCACCTGGAAAGACTCTGGGTGTGGAGAAGGGAAACAGAGATGTCACCTCAACAAATGATAATAACTTTAAAATTGGAGTGTTTTTTGTTCTTTTGGTCCAAAGTAATACACAAACTCCTGAACACTTTAACTACTACTATTTCCTTGTCACTGTGGTTACTGACTTGAAATGCCTTTAGAGAAAGAAAGATTTTGTTGGCAGAAAGACTTAGAAGAATAGTTGACATGCGGTATCATGATGTTCCACTGGAACCGATACCACAAACCCAGCACACATATTGAAACGTATTTACAATGAGGAAAATGGTGTCTTTTGTAAAACAATGTGTTATGACTGAGTAGCACTGGAAAACAAGGATAGGATTTGTGTCAAAGTGCTGTAACTGATATTGGCATACAGTCTGGGTTAAATCATTTTGGACCAGCGAAGACACTGTGTGTGGCATGTTCTACATAGGCCTTGACAAGACAGCTTGTTTGTGCTTCCTATGAAGGATGAAAGGGATGAAAATCTTCCTTTTCTTACCTCCTGCACAGATACTCGACGGCTCTGCTGCCAGGATCTCGATACATGACTTCTTCAGGATCTGAGGAGAGGAGCAGAAGGTCATCATCAGAGCAATACTTTTCAGCAGCCAGACTGCACATCTCAGATTTTGTAGTGTCCTTAAGCGCACAAGGAGACATTTAAAGACAGTCTCTGCTTACGGCTTCATTACCATGTAAGGATAATATTTTGGTAGTTATTTGGTAGAGTGTCTGTCTCTTTCAGATTGTAGTCACCTATTCTCCTCTAAATTGAATGACTGCTTTTAGCCACAGCCATGGCTTTCATAACCCTTTTGCAACTGGCGTCTCGCGGCTCAAAGTTTCCATTTATTCTCAGTTGTCTCTGTAGATGTGGAATCTCTGCTTTCCAGGAACATGCCCACTATAACCCTCTAGATGAAGAAGACTGATTCATGACCCACTGCCCCACTCACATGAATAAGAAGCAACAGCTCTCAGTTTGCTTTTAATGTGCTCCAGATGACAGTCAGCTGCTCGACCTTTAACTCCTCTCTACAAACTTCGTATCCCAGAGACAATAGCCCCCTACATAATGAACTGTTTTTCATTTCTCAAGCTAGCGGACACAAAAATTTAAGTCAACACCAATCATGTGGGTCTTAAGAGATACAGCACACATTTTGATCATGTTTGGCTAAACGCATTGATTAAAAGCAGGAAAGTCAGAGTCACAGCATGTTTTTCCTGGAATTCTGTCCCTGGCCAGGCACCGTGCATGGAAAAACCTTTGCTTTAAACCTATTTTGTCTTGTTTTCTGCATGCAACTGATCAGTGATTGATCAGATTAAAGGAGAAGTAATGGGTGAGATTACATTAAAAAAGATGATTTCCTTTCAGTTGTTTATCAGGCCAGATTATAGTTGATGCTATTTGAACATGTTTGTGGGCAGAACTGAAATGCTTACCGAGTCGATGACCCCTTGCAAGGCCTCAAATCCATCATTTACAGGGAAGACATGATCCTTACTATCAGCAATCTTAGCCAGCTACAAAGGAAAAATTAATTATTAAATTCACAAGTCACAGTTACACTTATTCATCCAAGACTTCTTTTGAGTCACTGTCTAGTTGCCTAGATGTCAAATTGTCTGAGATTTGATTAAACTAGGGCAGTTCACAGTTAACAAAATTACCTAATTTCCTTGTATTAGAGGACAAACTAATACAATTTTCACACCACACAAAGGAGGTAAATAGCCTTCTTGACTCACTTTGCACTGATTAGGCCAACGATTACTTGGATAAAGGTATATAAATTCACTCCATTTGAAAAACATTTTATATCCTTGTTGAAACATTTAACTCAGTTAACTTCAGTTGTCTAGGGACAGAGCTGGTAGCCTGAAAGTTGACTTGTGTGTCTTATGGTTGTATAAACAATTTAAACTGATATGAGGATATGACAGAATGTTTAAATTGGGGTGAACTGTGCCTTTGATCATTTAAAGCACTTTATAGCTACTTAATGCATTGGTTTCAGTGTTTTCAAAGTACAGTTTTGCTGTCCATACTATCTGCTCCACTTTCACTCCCTGAGGCCCAGATGTCATCATACATTAAGTTAAAGATGAAAGCTCAGTAAAAAAAACACACCTGTGTCTCATTGAAGTCCTTCACCCCCACACAGTAAACTGAGGCACCCAGACTTCGGGAACGGTTGGCCTGTCAGGTATGCACACAGATTCATAGCAAAAACAGGAAGAAGCTCAACACCTGGGTTCAATTACACCTCAGCATTTCACAACATCATCCAAAACATGGTGAAAACAGGCTTGTGTTTGCCTGACCTCTAAAAAGATTTTACAAGAAGTTGGACAACACCATGTTCCCGCTGAATAATATTATTCACACGTCATATGACAATAGAAATGTGACACAGATGCCTGAATACCAAACAGAGCACGAGTCAAATACTTCATTTCTCAGTAATAATGCCTGTGGATCTTGGTGTCGACACTGAATGACAACCTAGGACCTCCCACAGCTGCCAAGAGGCAGCATTTCAAGCTATAGTGAATATCAGCCCCACTTCATCCCTGCCCTCAACATGTGTCTGAGGGCACTCAAAGCTGAATTAAAGTCTCAGGCTTTCGCACGCCTTCACCTGCAGTGCCCGAATGGTTTGGGAAGCAAATAAATCATTATATCCCAGTGCAGATGTGAGGAAGGCGATTGGGCTCGGATGTATAAAACTGACAGATGCTATGACCCCATTTTTCCCAACTAAAGTGGTGATGTATAGGGTGGCAGTGTTTGATCTGATCCATCACGTGCTCAGTCACATGTTTCAGCTGGTTATAATTTGTCTGACCCATTTAACCTCTCTTTAGGTCTCTCACCTCTCTCTCTGCATAGTAGAAAAGATCCTCATGCAGCTCTCCATCTGTCAGAGCTATGATAACACTGGCAGTGCGATAACCTGCAGACAGAAAGAATTTGGTCTCTCCTGCTCAGTTAATCTATTCTCTTATCCTTTGCAAATAACCATGCGCATTATTGAGGTTACCTGAATTATTTTTGACAATGCTAAGCCAACTCATAGCCACCCATTCAAGGTTACATACACTTGGTGTCAACTTTATTAGGCATGTCTGTACAATCAGACACAATCCAATACAACTGTTCTGCCATAAAGTCAACTTTTATGATGCCTGTAATGTTCGGTTTTTATTGACACTGTCACAGAAGTGTTGATTAAATCATATATTTTTGCATTGAGCTCATAGTTAGTGATGATTGTACTAGAGTGCATTACATTGAGAGATGTATCTAATATTCTGGTCCTCTCATGTATGTAAATAAGGAGGACAAAAAGTCAGTCCAGTACAACAACACCTTTAACTATGACTGCAATAATAAACATGTAATCCAGTGTATATATTTTCGAAAAGGTCACCTAAAACTGAACATTATCTTTGTAAAGATAGAAGTTATGGCTGTATTGGATTAGATTGTGCAAGTGTCCCTAATAAGGTGGGCACTGAGTGTATTTCTATGAGCTGTGAGAAATTGACAAACAACATGTTGTACTTTGTCAGGTTGTTTAACCTGAATCATAGTCAAATATAAATGTCCTAAAAAACACACACACGCACAATTTCATGCATAGCAAAAATGTTACCTTCAGTGTTTCCATAGTATATCTGCTCACTGGCCTGTGAAAAAAGAAAAGCTGGATTGAAACAGTAGACTATCTATCTGGTAACATGCAGTGAATGAAAGAACCCCTTCCTCTGCTCCAACACAACAGTCTATTAGTGCTCTGGGCCGAGTGCTGTTTTGTCCCGGACAGATTCTAGAGATAAAGCAGATGCCAGTTTGCAGTAGGACATGAAGAGGCTGCTCACCCTCAGGATGCCTTCATGCATGAAGGTGTCTCCCCCTGGAAGAACCCTCTGGAGCTCCTCCAGACCTTTACGAATGCGCTCTCTAAGCAGACAATACAGTAGACGAGTTAATCCACATGGCTGATAATCAAATCTAATTGAAAATATTTGTTTTGTCAGATTCATTTGTGAACATTATTTTGACTAAAACCAGACACTGAGAGGCGAGGAAATAGAATAACAGTTTCCATAAGGGCAACATTTGCAGAAAATACCAGCAATGTGTAACGCATGAATAAACTGAGACAGTATTGGTGTGCAGTGGCTTGAGAAACTGTCACGCAGATAGACAGGAAATTAGCCCTTTGTAGAATAAGATATGAGGGAAGCAGTGAAACAGTGAAAAAAATTCTGTGGCTGCTGAGACACTCTGCTGAGGAAAGATTAGACACATAAGCTACTCACAATGTATCGAAAACCACATGATGAAGTAGTTGACCAGACGGACGACACTATAGACAGATCAGAGCGAGGGAAAGTATCTGTCTGGAATCTCTTCTTGATCATAAAAATGCAGCGGGATCATGACTGTGTGTGACTGTCCAAATCTGGTATTACACTCATTCCTTTCAGCTGGATGATAGAAAAGTAAAGGATTAAAAGCAATTTTGAGGGGATCTGCACCCACCTGTCTTCTGTCAAGCTCATTAAGATCCTTCCCTCAGTGGAGAACACAATGAAGGACATCCGCAACTGTGGACTGGGGCAAGGAGAAAAGAAAAATATACTCTGTTAAATTAGTAATCATTTCTTGTTACATGTTTTCCCACAGAGAAATGATGACACAATTGTGGGGGTTTTTTTTACCTTATGAATTTATGAGCTAGATGTTCAACAAAGTGGTAGATTTCGGTCCAGTGGTTCTGCACACTCCCAGATCTGAGAGAGAGGGGAAAAGCCACGATTAATGTGAGGATCTTTTTCAACCACTGCTGTGCAGCAAATCTACACGACCTCTTCTCTGTGCTACTGTTTGACTGCTGTCGAATTAACAATAGACCATGGACACATTATGAGACAATGGGCCCCTGGGTACAGACATTTAAAAGACCTCCACCCTTTTACACAGTAGCAGAAGCCCCTGATTGAAAGAGACATAAAATGAATACAAAAGATGCACCTCTTTGTTGTCATTTTGTGTCTCTTTGTAGTCACTTTGTCTCCTTGCAGTCATCGTCCCCTGACCCTTTGGGCCCCTGGGCTTGTAGCTAGTGGGCTCATTCAGTAATCCGTCACTGAAACAGACTGCTTCTAAAGGGTACAGTTGAACAGAAGTAGCCATGCAGAATAGTTCTGCATTAGCAAATAAGTATAGCTGGTTTACTCTGAGAATTAGCAATGATGTCGTACCCCTCAGATTACTGTTAACATCTTTATAATGCAGCTGCATTTATATTAGTGTTATGTCGTTGGATGAATGTATACTCATTAAGCTTTCATGCAACCAAGGATGTGGATGTTAATCATCTTGCACTCTGTTCCCTCTTTGCTAATGAACTGAAATCTAAGCTGTTCACATTTTTCCTTGATGTTTTTATTGGACTTTATAACAATGGCCACATAGTCCTCTGTACCCTCCTCTGTTGATATGAGGAAATCAAGATAAAGGGATTAAAGATTTAGGATCTATCATCTAAATCTACTTATCAAATTATCTATAGATGTCAATGTACAGTTGTATCTGGTTAATGAAGATCTGTTTGTGAGCTTGTATGTGTCTCAGTACAGATGCTTATCGAAATGCCTTTCATTTAATCTGTGTTTTTGTAACCCCACACCCCACTGAAACATTTCTCAAATCACCTATTTTTCCATTGTTACTATGACACAGGTCCCAGCACAAACAGCCCAGCCAACAGGCTGAAACACTGGAACATCTGGAGCTAATGGAGAAAGGGCAGAGCAGACATGGAGAAGAGAGAGGAGAGGAGAGATCAGGCAGACACTGCATGAGGACAGTGAGGGTAGTTGGAGGACATCACTGCTAAAAGGCAAGCTAAATTCCTGCCTGAGGAAAAGGAAGTAAAAGGACGAGCTAATACACTCCACTGATGCCCAACAATAAATGCTGAATAAATGCTGTCAGGTCACGCATGTAATGTAAATCTGTGTTGTTAAAACATGGCTCATGCTAACAATTACTCTGTGTTACATACAGTTGCCTAATTTCCCCTCAGAGGAACAGCAGTGTGCCTGCAGTTGACATTGATATGTAACTGTAGGACAACTGGAAAATCCATCACCATTACTGGAGGTAGAGACTCTAAACTGTGGAGCTATAAGAGAGGGACATAGTGCAGACTGCAATCCACCAACTCCAGTCTTCCAGATAAGAGAAAATCTGAGTTGGATGTTGAATTTGTTGTTGACCTAGTTGGAAAACATCTTTGGCTCATGGCAAAAAAAAAAAAGTAATAAAAACAAGCTGTTTTAAACCAGGTTTGCAAAAAAAAGATGTCATAAGGTAAATATTCTGTCACAGTCCAAAGGCAACAGTCTGGGTAAGTTAATTGTTAGTGCCAGAGCAGCTGTGTGCATATTTACCTACAAAATAAAGTTCTTTCCCTACAAGTCCTAGTCAGGAAAACTCAGTAAACACTCACGTATGACACTTGACATTTTTGAGAACTGCTTTCCTTTGACTGACTTTGCTGATGAGATTACCAACTTCCTGTTTGGCACGGAAATTAAAGTTTTGTTTACAAATGCAAATGAAAATGCAACCACAATAAGACATTAAAGGCCATATCATGCCTCATCAAAAATGTTATTATTTTGATTCACTGTGGTTCACTGTGATAGCTTTGATCAGGTGCCTATGTTGCATGACTAAAGGGAAACGAGAGATCACCAAAAACCAGGTTAGATAAACATGGAAACTGTTTCTAAATTGAGACCAATATATCCAAATGACTTTGCGGGCAGCCCAAACATCCTGTGTCCTACTCGGGATACACAGATTATGTTAAAACTCCAATAAGATGAGGACACATAATGATGCAGAAGAACTATGCACTTACTGGCCAGCAATTCTGCCCACATGGTGTATGTTATTTGAAGGGGATAAACACCAAACAGCATTCAACACCAGTTCTTATAATCTGCGCAGCCTGCAGCAGACTGATGAATGGGGGAACACCTAACACACCACTAATCATTACCATCTGTATGCCATGCTGAAATGTATCTTGAGGTTTATCTGAGTACCAGTCCACCCATCCATATCCCTGCATGACATGACACCAGGGGGCGTTATGATAACAGATATGGTGATGACATCATGAAAACATTTTGGCAGACAATGACTTTCACTGGGAGAAACACAAGACCAATATGAAATGATGCATATTTACTGTATGCATTAATATGCGTTCAGTATATCATCATAATAGCTTGTTAAGACTGTCAGCAGAGACAGGCGGGTGGAATATTCAAGTCAGGTTTAGTCACTGGAGATAAATACAATGCAGCATGGCAGCACTCCAAATTAAAAAATAACATAACATACTGTTCTTATTCAACCCACCCAATATATTAACTAATGCTTCTCATAGATTTTTAACTTGAATGGCTTTCACTTGTCAACAAAAAGCCTCCTCTTCATCAATCCCCTCTACTAGTGTCAGGTAATGTGTGTCAGGTAACTCACTTGTCCAAAACAAAGTAGAGGTCAAAGCCTCCAAAGCACGAGGACGACCCAGCCTGCCTTCTGTCCAGGTTTGGTCCGGCATTACCCTCAATAAGAACAACCAGCACGGCACCAAACACCACTGCAAACCAGGAGTTTCTACTCCAGAAGGAAGGCATTATTCCAGTGGAAGAAAATCTCATACAGATGAGATGGTAAATAAAACCACCTTCAATTAAAAAAAAAAAAAAAGGTCGTAAGAGATGTTAATCCTTGTTGCTGATTCTTCTTTCAATCCTCCACAGGCGTCTTCAGCATTGAAAAAAAAATGCAATAATCCAAAGGAAAGCAGTGAGTGTAACTCAACCGTTGAAGTGGAGGGGAGAGAGAAAGCATGAGTGTTGTGGGTCTCACTGTTGTTGTTGGGACCCTCTCATCACTGGGTCCATAACAGCTTGCAGAAGGATGAGATGCTGATTTTTGTTAATGATAAGGCCATGAAACAGAGAGATCCCCAGACCCTGGATGTCTAACTCTAAGAGTCTTTGCAAAACTCTTCTTGTATTTTCAAGTCTGTCTCTCTCTCCCTTTCTCTCTGTCTCTCTCTCTCTCCAGAGAGCAAGAGGTGATGAGGACTATACAGTGGAAACACCAGAATACACTGGCTTGTCCTGCCACCTAGTGGTGATACAGGGCTGCTGGCTGATTCTAAACCAGTAGATCATGAGAAATATGAACTCGGTGACCCAGAATACTGGGAAACGGTACAGGGATTGTATTGGAGAAACTGTGTAAAAGAGGTGTTGACTCATCTCTATTTTTAATATTCAGGCTGTTGGCTCGTTGTGGTGTTGTGTTGGATGACATTATATTGAGAGATGCTGCTGAAGTTTTGATCCCCCCTATGTAAAGACATGGGGAACTGAATACTGGAAACAGAAAGTAGGTGAACTATGTCTCTTCAGCTTCTTTACAGTTTGGTCCCATGTGATCTATATCATCTCTCATTCATTGATGTGCCCTAAAATTACATCAGTGGGAAGTTTCAGTTGTGTGCTGTAGTAACCCTGGCCTCCCAATTATAGGCATTTTCAGGGAGAAGTTACTGTCAGTTGAAAGAGGACACAGAGGACGTGCAATGTTGAGGTATGTTTGTACATTTGTACAACAAGCAAACACAGATAACACCAAAGAAAAAGTTGTGCTTCTTTATGTGTTTATTATTGACAATAAAATGGTTGTTTGTGTTCGCATTTTGAGACAATCCATTAATGATGCATTTACATTAGTTACCTCAGCACAATATGTATAAAATATGCATAAAATGTGTATTTAATTATCATTCTGCCATCATCTGTCAGTACTGTCTAGGTCAATCAGAAAATAATGAGAATAATGACTCCATCGCCTCCCTGCTCCACTAAAAATTGGCCATATATGTCTTATGTTCTCCTCCAGTAGACTTCACTTAATTACATAGAGACAAATGTGAAAGGCAGGAGAAAGAAATCAACAAAAGAATCAAATAATGTCATCTTCAAAAAAACTGAAATGACAACAGTTGAAGAAAAAACAAAAACAAAAAATCTAATTACCATGTTTCACATTTTCCACAGCCCAACCCTCTGCCATGTCGTCTATCTTCCTTTGTTACTTTCCACATGAGTCCAATCCTGTTTGTGTGTGGAAACCAACTCATCCTCTGTCATGCAAACCAGTTTCTTATATAATTCATTTTTTTTTACATATTGTCTAATCTAATCTCCATAACCATCCTCCTCTCATCTTCATCTCTTTCAGATGTCCTCTGTTTCTCTACATCTTTGTCACAGCTAGACTCCTCCTCATTATGGCTCTTCATCTTTTTCCTCCAGTATCCACAAGGATCCACAAGGATCTCTTTGTTTCTCTTCTGTTCCGGTGTCCGTGCTCCATTTTCTTTTCCACTTCTCAGCCTCCTGCTTCCACTTTGCTCCTCCATCTCCTCTCCTGTACTCTTTCCAGTCTCCACATTGCATTTCTCCTCCTCTTCCCTCGGTCTTCCTCATCTCACCCAGGTCATGCCGGGGCTTGATGTTTAAACAGTCGTTCTACCTAGCTCAGCTAGCTCCCCCTGCAGACGGCTCCATGTCAATACAGCAGTGGTCCATTTGAAAATTGATTAACGTGGCCATGACTTATTACAAAAATCTAAATTTCTAATCATTCCATCTTCCAAACTTAAAAATAAAAACTAAATAAAATTAAATTAAAATCAATCAACCATATGTCCAACACATTTTAAATCTTTCAATGCATCCACTGAATGGTGACAAAAGTTTGTTTGGTCAATTCAGAAGTGTGTCACTATATCTTATAAAATATACAAAATCAGTTAACATCTCTATCTCCACAAGTCTTCATTCAAATGCTGCCTAAATTAACACAGACCTTCTCTGGAAAGTAGATATCAAGTGTTCCAAACAGTGTTTGGTGAGTTTGCAGTATTAGTCATGCTGTAGGCTACATATGCACAACATTTTCTTTTTTGCCCAGTATTGGATTCAAAGCCCCCAAATCTTGGTGATATTTTTCAGGACTTTCACACCAACATTTTGGCTGTTTTAAGTGTTTTAAGGTTAAACAAACAACAATACACCAGTTTTGCACATGTGATGTCATTGCTTTAACTTGTATGAAGGCGTGTAGGCCTACAGCACTTGATTCCCCAATGGCAAGGGAGTTCAAAACCTGATCTGATGATATCATTCTCTGAGGAATGGTCATATGACTGTGTATGCAACTTTCTTTGCGGAATTTTCTCATTTTTGTCATTTTCTCATTTACAAAAAATTATTTGTAAAAACCGAAGCAGCAGAGGCTGAGATATTTTGACTGGCTCTGACTTCAAAAGCACTGGATTCTACATTTCTCATAATGCAACTGAAGCCCAAGCTGATGTAACCCTGATTAATTCAGGATGACTTACTTCATACTTTGGAAAGCTTCCTCCTCTCTTCATGTGTAAAACTGGTGGAGTATCCCTTTAACATGGTTTGTGTTTCTCTGTTTTAAAATTGAAATTCTCTTCTTTCTCATATAAACAAAGTTAAGAAAAAGAGAGTAAGTCATGAAGAAATGTAAGATTTATTTAATTATTCATTTGAAATTGTATTAGTATTTAATATAAATGTTTTATTTTCAGTTTTCAGCAGCTGCAATACAACAAAACCAACAAAACAGGCAGTGTTTGCTTGTGCAACCCCCCCCCCACACACCCCACCTCAGACGCCTCAAAACAATGACTGCATCACTTCCCCACTGATCCAAAAATTGGACATTCTACTGTTGGGTCGTCCCGCTTGTGCACTCTGTATACACATGCCTCTGAGTCAAACACTGACACACAGTCATTAGGGAACTGGCTGGGGGTGGAATATCTGCAATCACACAGGAAACCGTAGACAGTAAACATGTAAATACACAGATAGATATTTTTTCGTTACATTTGAACACTTTAATGTTGTGTTATGTATACTTACGCATCACAACATCTATTACAAGTGCAGTCCATACATCGACTGTTTCTCCATTTAGATCCTATGGCATGCCATGTCTTATCCACAGGATCCTGACAATGGGTCGTCCAGTCTAAAGGTGGGAAGGAGCTGGTAAGTATTTTTCCATGCAGTCCTAATGTTGCACTACATTGTTTTTGATCTTAATATAATGAAGATGATGTGATGATACAAGGTATGGCTGTGTGTGCGAGAGTGTGTGTGTGTGTTGTTTTGCTTTTTTGTTTTCTTTTACCAGAGTGTGGAAGCCATGACCCACAAGCCCCATTTGACAGTGAGGGCAGACTGCAGAGCAGCAACGCCAGAGCCAAGAATTTCTTCAGAGGAACAAAGAACATCAATTTTAAAGGATTAGTCTCATTTTTTCAAATCTATCTTAAAACAAACATCAAATTCCCATTTCTACTATGAAATCGTTATTTATTTCTGTAAACGTTTCTTTCCCATTTTCCACTTCGCTCAAAAGTCCTGGCTCAAAAGCTCGCCTCTGTAGCCATGTAAACTCTTAGCTCTAAGCTGCTAGCCACAAACTCATGGCTCTTAGCCATTTTTGCACTTGATCGTTTTGTCCGCATCCTTTATTATTTCTTTGCCACGCGCTCCAAGTAACATTCTTTTTGTCTACATGCGCGATCTTTTATTTTCATAAGCCAAGTCAAAATCAACTGAACCAAAACAACAGAAGTGCCTCAGAGTAATTTTGTACCTTTTAATTATTATCAAGTTTTCCTTTTTGAAGATTTTGACAACTTTAGAGTCATCTGGTCAACGCCAGTCTCCTCTAAAGTTATCCAGCCAAAGTGAAGAGCATTAGAGTTTATTTCGCATCAACCCGCAAGAGACGCCCGCAGATAACACCTCTGCACGGCCGCCTGCAGAGAAGCCGAGCAGAAATCAAGAGTGCCCGAGACAGAAAGTCTCCTGGCAAACTCCACCAGAGCTGAACCGCTGAGACACCGGCAGAATCCGTCATCGTGATAACGGGACACGGCCTAGATCCCGCGTCTTCAGGGTTACCACGGCAACCACAACCACCGGGTTCCAGCCAAGGGTCTCCAGCTACAGCGCAACTCACAGTAGGCCGGTCTTAACACTCTGCTCATGACTGGGTTGATGTCTAAACATAGTAATATTTAATCATCAATTCTCATTCATAGACGTAGTATCATTAGCTGTATAGCCATAACATATTTGGTCTCACCATTGCCAACTCATCACACAGCTCATTTCATTATTATTTTCATCTTTATGATTATTAGCATTTACTCTGTAGATATTAGTCTTTATTTACACCCAGTTGTCCTGTTGTGTTCTTTTGAAGTAGAGACTGGAGATCCATTGAATCGAGAAGTCATGGCTTCTGATATGAGACTGATAAATTTATCAATGAAGTAATTCATTGTTGTCCTCCCAGAGGACTGGTGCGCCCTTTCAACAAGAGTAAATTCTAAATTATGGTGTTAACACTACAAAAGGCCTCTTACAGGAACATCTATCAGTTTTTAAAATCAAAAAGCTTTCATTGCTCATGAAAAGACTCTAATATGAAATACGTAAACATTTGTTTTTTTTTTTAGCAAAATGCAATTGCACATTAGTTTGAAATAACCCTTCATCTATGAATTGAGACAAACATCTACCAACAATTTAGCACCGAATTTCTTGACAAAAGTAAAAACTCACCATGGTGATAACAGTCTTGTCAGATTTGAGTGATGTCGAGTAAGAGCATAAAATAGACCGTATTTCTGTGGAAAGTCTATGTGAGCGTACAGAAACCATTGGCATTATATAAGAGTAAGGGGTGGTCTGCCCCCTTTGTAACTTCCAGTAAGTTAGGATGAAAAAGTTGAGTCACTTTAGGTTATCTGAGGATTGACTATCAATTTACTTGTTTGATTTGGCTCATTACATAAAACACAACGTTGGGCCAACACTTTTGCCCAGACTGAAACAGGTAAACACTTTTGTGATGGAGCGCCAGGAAATGATGTGCAGACATCCAAAGTCCCCAATAGATGAATGCCAATGACATTTAACTTAGCAATGCCAGCAGATGAAAACATTCATTTATCCAGAGAAATGTATCAACATCTACTAAATGGAAGTTTTTGTTCAAATATTAATGGCTCCTGACTTTGGTGATCTCCTGATTTTTCATTTAGTGCCAACATCAGGATGAGGTTTGTGGTTTAGAGTGAAATATGTCAGAAGTGCTGTGCCTTCATCAGAATCAAAGTGGACAAGGACATGAGGCAAACAGTTATAGTGAACCTAGGCCAGGTGTTCAAATGTCATTGGATAATTGGCTGAACAGGGGTTCAAATCTGTGTGATAATGAATCAAAGGCTGGGAGTTGCCATAGTCAGTGTCCAAGTGCTGGACAGCTAACACCATGTCAGGAACAAAAGAACACAGACCTCCCTTAAAGTTACAAGGATAAAATTACAAAACGTACAATTACTAACATCCATTGAGGATGACAAATTAGAGGAAACATTAAAAATCCAGTTCTTTGTCTATGCCAAAAGGCTCTACCTTGTTCACAGTGTGAAACCAACATGGCGCTCTGTGGAGCAGTGAGTTGATGATTTTGTTTTTCTTTAATGATGCTGCAGAGCTGTGGTTAGCCTGTGCATAATGTTAGGCAATGGCATCATCTATGTTTGTACATACTGCAGTCTTATGTTCAGATAGGTCAATCTTTAAAGCTCTTTTTGTTTGTCCAACATAAACATTTATTTATTCATTTGACATTGAATTATAAGCATTTAAACTCATAAGACATTATACAACTGGTAACACATTCAGAGTAGTATTTCATAAGTAAAACTGGTGGAGTTTACCTTTAACATGGTTTGTGTTTCTCTGTTTTAAAATTGAAATTCTCTTCTTTCTCATATAAACAAAGTTAAGAAAAAGAGAGTAAGTCATGAAGAAATGTATTTATTTATTTATTCATTTGAAATTGTATTAGTATTTAATATGAGTGTTTTATTTTCAGTTTTCAGCAGCTGCGCAACAACAAAACCAACAAAACAGGCAGTGTTTGCTTGTGCAACCCCCCCTCACACCCCACCTCAGACGCCTCAAAACAATGACTGCATCACTTCCCCACTGATCCAAAAATTGGACATTCTACTGTTGGGTCGTCCCGCTTGTGCACTCTGTATACACATGCCTCTGAGTCAAACACTGACACACAGTCATTAGGGAACTGGCGGGGGGTGGAATATCTGCAATCACACAGGAAACCGTAGACAGTAAACATGTAAATACACAGATAGATATTTTTTCGTTACATTTGAACACTTTAATGTTGTGTTATGTATACTTACGCATCACAACATCCACTACAAGTGCAGTCCATACATTGACTGTTTCTCCATTTAGATCCTATGGCATGCCATGTCTTATCCACAGGATCCTGACAATGGGTCGTCCAGTCTAAAGGTGGGAAGGAGCTGGTAAGTATTTTTCCATGCAGTCCTAATGTTGCACTACATTGTTTTTGATCTTAATATAATGAAGATGATGTGATAATACAAGGTATGGCTGTGTGTGCGAGAGTGTGTGTGTGTGTTGTTTTGCTTTTTTGTTTTCTTTTACCAGAGTGTGGAAGCCATGACTCACAAGCCCCATTTGACAGTGAGGGCAGACTGCAGAGCAGCAACGCCAGAGCCAAGAATTTCTTCAGAGGAACAAAGAACATCAGTTTTAAAGGATTAGTCTCATTTTTTCAAATCTATCTTAAAACAAACATCAAATTCCCATTTCTACTATGAAATCGTTATTTATTGCTGTAAACGTTTCTTCTATCCATGAAGAGATCCCCTCATGTTAGGAAGGGATCTAATGTGATACCAGTGTAAGACACTAAATAACTCTATCTCCATGATTCGCAAATCTTGTCAAGAATTTCACAAAAAAGCTACCATCAAAATTAAACTATGAAAACTTACCATTGTGGCAGTCAGACTTGACAGATTTGAAAGGTGTTTGGGTAGGAGGTTAAAATATATTGATTCTTTAGTGAGTGACTCTCTTTTAAACAGTTCATCTGTAAGGACCTTTGGAATTAAATAAGGAGAGGGGAGGAGCGGTCAGTTTAACAGAGGGGGTCACCACAGAAAAAATAACAAATAGGACATATAGTGCACAAAAAAGTCATTTTAAGTTGATTCAGATTAATTTTAATGCAACTTAGTTTCTCTGAGTCAAATCTACTTTTAAAAGAATAAGTGACATTTTTTAGACAGACCAAACTGGGATATCAGATTCCATTTTAAGTGTCAGATGCCCTCAATTGACCCCTCATACTCTGCCCGAAGTTCTTTTTCAGTTAATCTGAAGTAAAGAACTGAGCTCAATGTTTGATTTCCTAAATTGCATTTTGAAACGTATTATTTTTTATCAGCTCGGGATCTAATTTAAATGAAGTTATGTTAGAGTTAAGTTAAAAAACATTGAATTAAGTTGTATGTCAAACAGGAATGCATTTAAGAATGAAGAAAATTGAAATATATCAGTTTCATAATAACGTCATAACTGTGGAGTTTTTGTGGAGGGAGTAACCTAAATGATCCAGATCCATTCTTCTAAAATCCCTCCCAGGTTTTGCGTTACTCACTGACGCGCCATAAACAAGGTTGCCAGTTCGGTTGAAATGCAGCGCTGACTGTCCTACTTGTTTTTACTGGCCAGAAAAGGGCGGATGTAGAGACCAACATGGCAACGAATCACACAACAAGAGGAAGTGGGGCTTACACGCAGTAAATGTTTGCCTTTTAAATAACTCGTAATTACTAGGCATTAGGTCCTTTTTGGTTTCTGTTTTTCTCAAAAGAAGAGTTTTAACCGTCACGACAAAGATGGAGTAACAGAGCGAGAAGGTGAGCAGCAAGAGCACAGCAATAGCGCCAGTCGGTTAGCTTTCTGCTTGCTATGCTAATGTTAGCATGGTAGGCCAGTGGTCACTCGCTTTACACAGCCTCAATATTAAATATATATGTTATGCTTGTGAGTCTGTCTATACAACAGATGTACTAATGTTTGGTTTAGAAGTTATACTCGACCCAAAATAGGTCAACTATAGTAATATAAGGCAACATTATCCAATGCATGGCAATAATGGGTGGTGCTCACAGTGGACAAAGCACCTGCGGGTTTGAACGTCAGTCTAATGATTATTTTCCTTATCGATTTAATTGCCGCTTACTTTTTTGATAAATCGGTTCGTTTTTTAGTCTAAAAAATTTCAGTAGACAGTGAATGATGTCCATGACTTCCCAGACTCCAAGGTAGCATTTCCAAATGTCCTGTTTTGACCAACAGAAGGCATGCATCAGAGTTACGACACTAGCATATATTTACATTAAGAAGCAGGAGCCAGTCTAAGCTTTTGAAATTACTCAAATTATCAGAATTGCTGCTATATATAATTGTCCCATACATTTAAATGAGTACTATTGTGGATTAGTATAGGATGTACATAAATTTAGGAGACTCACAAAATACAAATAAAAAAACCCGCATAAGGCCAACCTGAGATAACCGATCTTCTGACTTGACTCCTCTAGAGACACTGAAGGTATTATACATATGTTTTGGAGCTGAAACATTACTTAATTGATTAGTCGAAATAAAATTGATTGGCAACTTTTCTTAGATTATATATATTTTATGTATAGTTTAGGCAAATTTTCAATTGTCAAACATTGCTGGCTTTAGCTTCTCAAATCTCAACATCTGCTGCTTGTCTTTGTCATATGTGATTGTTTATGAAATCTCTTTGATTTTTCGACTGATGGACAGACAAATCATGTGATTTCAAAATGTCACTGTCGGGCTGTGGGAACCATGAATGGACACTGATTGTTGACATTTCATAGTCTGACTGAATAACTGATAATTGAGAGAGTAATTGTGATGAAGAATGAAGAAAACAAACATTAGTTGCAGCCCTAATGTTTTTACAGGCTGTGTGTTAAATGTTATGATGAGTAAACTGATCTTCATATGTAAAATCTGCCATAAAGTTCTTTGGTGGGAGGCAAAGAAAATAATTCATTGTATAAAATAAAACATTTCACACCCTCTTCCCTGCCAGTTTTGGTCTGCTTCCACACAAGTTGTTGAACCCTTCCCAGGGCCCTTTGGGGCCCAGGAAGAGGATGCATCGTGGTGGGGATAAGGACTTCCAGATATCGGCACGAAAGATGGGCACATCCTTGCTTTTCCAACTCTCGGCTCATGAAAGAGAGTTGGATTTGGTGTTTCTGGACCACAGCTATGCCAAGCCATGGAATGCCCACCCAGATGCCAGCAGCGCCCGGCCCACACGGACACTGTTTGTTACACCTCGTCGCCAGCCTGAAGCCTTGTCGTGAGTCTCAAAGCTCCTAATCATAAGCTGTAACTGAACTACAGTAGACATAACAGAATACAGTTTGAGATTGTCATCAGCCCCCACCCTGTTTCTTAATAAAATTCAGTCGTCATTTGGTCATTGAAATATTGTTTTTGTTTTGTAAGTGTCAGTAACTTGATTTTTTTTGTCTTTTGTCTGCAGAGAGTCTGATTCTGTAATTGACGTGGAAACGGTCACACCAACACCCATTCCTCTATATGATAACCAGAAAGCTCTTAGTGTGATGAAGGAGTGTGAGCGGCATGTCCTGTTTGCTCGCACTGTTGCTGAGAGCCCTCCACCCCCCGAAGACTGGGAGGAACATCTAAACAAGTAATCAGTCATCTGGAGCGATCTACTGTTCATTTACTATCTACTGTGATACTTCACACCCGTGCTCATCAAGTATGGATGTTATAATTGAAAGTATGTCAGTGACAATGCATTTTTTTTTTAACATTATCATCATTCTGTTTCAGGACTGGATGGTCAGTGGCCCAGAACAAGCTGTTCAATAAAGTCCTTAAAGCTCTACAAGCTGAAAGACTTGCCCGTCTGGCCAATGAAAATGTAAGTTGTGCTCATTTTATCTAATTATGATCCCAAGACCTAAAATGTAATACATTGTGTAAGTTCTTAAGCACCGTATGTAATAATAATAATGATAATTACAAACTTTATTTATAGAGCATTTTTCCTACAAGAGATGTAGCTCAAAGTGCTTTCAAATTTAAAATTAAAATATTACAATAGAATAACGATGAATTGAAGGACAATGAAAATAGACATTAGAAAGACAGTAGATGATAAAATATGTAAATGAAAATAAAAACAAACCGGTAAGAATAGTAAAATATGAGAGAATTAATTAAAAGCCAAGGTAAAGAAATAAGTTTTCAGCTGTTGTTTAAAAATGTTAACTGAGCTGTAATCGCTGAATTGAAACAGTAGCTCAGGAGGTAGAGCAGGTCGTCCACTAATCAGAGGGTTCTGGGCCTCCTTAAGTCTGCATGTGAAACTGTCCTTTGGCAAGATCCTGAACCCCAAATTTCCCCTGATGTATCATCAGTGTGTGCGATGGAAAAATATTTGTACAAAAGTGCTGAATTATTGTGAATGTGGCTTGTAGTGTGAAGTGCTTTGAGAGTTTGTTGGCAAGAAAAGCACTACAGAAATGCAGTCTGTTTACCTTTTACAAGTACTGCTTAGCCTAGGTTCGCCACAGTGGGATTTCTATTGGTTTAAGTAGTTTCAATAAGACTTTGAGATTGTAAAAGTAATGTTAACCTATAAGAAATTAAAGTTTGTGCATGTGTAGAAAGATAGGTTTGTATTTGTAAAAATTAAACACTGTTGGAAAAGAGGTGCTTTTGTGAACATTGGTGTACAGATACAAAGCAAAAAACTGCAAGTTCAATCAGAGGGTAGATGGTTCTGGTGCCTGAAGACTTTCAAGCTGGATAACAACACAGGCTCTTCTGCAATGTGGATTTGCAGCAGCATCAAATTAAATCCTCCTGGGTTATTTTTATATTATAACTTCATCCTGTGAAATGATATGCGTCTAAAGCCACTTGTAAATGGGCATTGTTGGCATGACAATACTCTTTTTAGGGTTTTATAGATTAAATTCTAGCATGCCTGTGAATATTTTTTTATTATTTAATTTAAAATGATTGAAATACTATTGGTCTTTTGTGTGATCTTGTTTGCCTTAGGCTTCCAATGAGCCAATTTTGCGGAGGGTAGCTGTGGACAAGTGTGCCAGAAAGGTGCGGCATGCATTAGCCAGTGTGAACTGGGACACCAAACTGACGCAGTGGCTGCACACAACCATGATTGAATCCTTAAGCCTTCCCATGCTTGCTGCTTACCTGGATGTGCTGCAGACTCTCAAAAGCAAGGTATTATATCTGTAATTGAATGAGGAGTAAGAATTGGTGTTCTGTATCAGCTACAGTATGTGCTACAGCATTTGTGCAAGCTCTTGGATTCATTATTACCCCACTCTCTGTGTCTGGGAAGTTGCCCTCGCTGATTGACAGAATGTTGCTGCCATCAGCAAAGACTGGAGCGCCGAGTGCAGAGGCTCTGTCACTGCTGCTGAAACGGCCATGGGACCCAGCTGTTGGAGTTCTATCTCAAAACAAACCGGTAAAGCTAAACCATTCACTCTTGAGTGGTTTTTAATAGAAATAAAACTTTTTGCATTTTGTTCCTCATGACCTGTTACAATTGAAGACCAGATCCCTGACTGTTTTCTTACATGTTTCAGAGTAAGCTTCCTGGATCGCCACTCATCCTAATTACACCATCAAGCCCAACCAATCCAGCCCTCTCTACCTCGCGGCGAATGAGATTCTGGCAGTCACAGCTCTCCTGTTTGGGAAAGGTTTGAACAGTCACTCATTTAAATCTCTATGTGTGTTATCAAGAGTGTGGTGTTATTTCTCTCAGAAAAGTGCCTTTAACAGCTATTTCTATGTCAGGTCATACCAGTGCACACTCATGTGAACAGCAGCGCCAACATTGGCATTACCCAGTGTCTAGAGCACATGTTGGGTACTGTCAGGGCCAAGGTCATGGAGGTAGGCTGTTATGTTTTTTGAAGTAGTAATTTTACAATGATGATGATAACTGAATGTAATTCCTATACTAGACAGCAGCATTTCTTTCATCAGGTTGGTCTGAGGATAAAGTCACTGATGTTAATACTACATTCTATGATTCTTCATTCTTTTAATTTTCTTAGTCCTTGTAGTGTACTTTCTTATTTTTTTGTGCACTATGAAAAGGTAGTGTTCACTACATGCACATTCCACAATCACCACAATCTAATCTACTACACATTTTTGTGTTAAAATGTCTCTTATCAAAATTAATTACTCAAAAAAATGTATCTTGTCTCAGCAGTTTCTTTTAAGACTTTACTGATTAATGTCTATGAAGGCAAAATGAAAGAAATAGAGCCAGGTAGAATACAGATTCTGTATTGTATTATGTCTGATTTTGTATGTGATGTGTCTGCAGCTGTATTGATTGTCTTATGATTTTAACTGCCAGGTTCATAGTCACTTCCCCCATAAACCCATTATCCTGGTTGGCTGGAATGCTGGTGCTCTTATCGCTTGTCACGTAAGACTTCTTATAATGTATTAGTGTTGTCTGTTGTGACACTGAACAGTTTTCTCCCATGAAAAAACACTAATGGTCTTGTCTTCAAAACATCATAAGTTAATTTAATGTTATTTAATTACAGGTTTCCCTTATGGAGTATCTGACTGCTGCCGTTTGTCTTGGCTTCCCCCTGCTAACAGTCAATGGGCCAAGAGGGGTAAGACCTATGCCTTATCCTCCATTGATATGCATTTTTCATTTCATTTATTAAAACTTGTATTATTTTTTCTTCAACAAATACTGAACTTTGGCCTCTAGTTGTGATTACTGTTGATGTGCTACTGTCTTGCAGGATGTGGATGACCCGCTGCTGGACATGAAGACCCCAGTGTTATTTGTGGTTGGCCAGAATGCTCTACAGTGTAGTATAGAAGGCATGGAGGAGTTCAGAGAGAAGCTAAGGGCAGACAACAGCATGGTGGTAGTGGGAGGAGCTGACGACAACCTCAGGTCAGTAATATCATATTCTTTCTTGTAGAGTGTAAGGATTTTATGGTCAATCAGTGGTAATGCTAACTGGTATCCCTCCACAGAATCAACTCAGCAAAGATGAAATCAGAGGGACTGACGCAGACCATGGTTGACCGCTGCATTCAGGTTGATCCTTGTAACTGGAAATATCACATTTACACCATTTTCTCTGGAATGTTTCTCATCCTCTGCAGTTCCTTTTTGAAAATACAAAAACGACTATGATGTTGATAACAAAAGCTTTTCTTCTTCTTTCCTTACTGACCTGCAGGATGAAATTGCTGACTTCTTGTCAGGCGTCCTCACAAGGGCAGAGGGCCATGGTCATGGCTCAGGGGAGATGAGAGACCTGGACACAGAGAAGAAGAAAAGGCCTCGACGAGAGCTTCCCTTTGACATGGAGAGGGGACGACCTTCCTCCCCTGCACTTAGAGTTCCTATCTCACCATCGGGTTCAGAGGTCAGTAAGTACCAAGCTTTTTCAAAGGGTTTGAAATGTCACTTACTTTTAGCCTTTTAGATGAACGACCAGGGCTGCGTCTGGTTATTACTGTAGGAATACTAGGAAAATAAATAATATTTCTGAGTTGAATACCACATGAAATGATTGCAATTAGTTGCATAACATCTAGTGATTGCTTTGTTTGCTTTTTATCCCAGAGATTGTAAAGTTATAGACTTCATGGAAAAATGGTGGAAAATAAGAAAAATTGGTAGTGGTTCCTCAAAAGGATCTGACATGTATTCACATTTTCTCATTTTTTCTGAGTGCAAATAATGCCACATCTGCCAGATAATATAAAAATGTTATCTGCCAGACAGCAGAGTGTCGGTAGTGGATTAAAGTCTGTAAAGTGGCTTTTTGACTGAGTGGATTTATTACCTCTCTGCCATGCCAACTTTATATCAGTGAAAAGGTCTCAAAAGCACACTGAAAAATTATTTTATAAAATGGGAAATCTTTTTATTTTTTTCATTTTATTTATTTATTTTTTTTATGTCTTTGTATTTGTATCTTTGGTTCACTGCATGGTGATGCTAATGTCATATTCTTCAGTTTTCATTTATATTTATCTATAATTTTGTACACTGCATTTTGGAGGAATTCTATTATACAGACCTCATTTAGACCGTACAAATTAAAGTATCTTATCTCATGAATATTAACAGTTTGGGGTTTAATTAGTCTCAATGCCCTTGCACAAAAAAACCCCAGGTGCATGTGTATGATGGACATGCAGAGAACATTATCCACAAGCAGAAACCCATCCTCCTGAGGAAGGATTTCTGCTCTGTGTGCACAAATGTTGTCCTGTGAGCACAGGGCAAGCTCACCCCTCGCTACACGCTTGCAACTACGCAATGCTCACTTGTCAAGTTGACTTTGGAGACGGACACAGTGGCTTATGTCGCCACTCCTTTGAATGGTCACTTTCAACACCCATAGTCTCCAGTTTGGAGAGAAGCCAGGATCCCATTTTTAATAGTTATAATGCATTTTTGAATATTCAGAATTACACTATGGATATCTGGAATGGTTTTTCATTTTGGATATCTGATATTAAAATTATGACTTTTAGCAATTGGATTGTAGATATCTCAAATGTGAGTTTTTCTCAGTAAGAATTCTATTGCATTCTAGATATCAAAAATATGCTGTAACTGTGGATATCTGAAATTGACAGCCCGATACACATGAATGGCAAGTGACATCATTTGTCCTAGGAAGAGTGATATCTGAAAAGAAAATTGAGACAGGAAAAATTGTGAATATCTGAAATATTCTGCAAACGCTCATCACAGCCCCATGCTCACAGGACAACATTTGTGCACGTGGAGCAGAAATTTTTCTGGTTGTTGATTGATTGTTCCACTCACATCACGTGCTTGCACATGATTTTCATCTGTGCGGGTTTTAAGACTAATTAAACGCCACATAGTAGCAATAGGTTTCTGCTGTCTATATGTGAAGTGACTGACACAAATCATTTCTCATCAAGCGATCTCCCTCTTTACTGTGTCCACAGGATCTGTCTAGTGTCTGTAGCAGTCCCACTTCTAGTCCCAAACCCAAGACGTCTGGTCTGTCTCCTGCACAGAAGTCCAGTCTGATCACAGCTACACAGCTCCTCAAGACACACATGCAGCGCTCTGGCACAGTTCTCACTCACAAACAGGCTCAAGGTTGGTTCACAGCCACACCTCAACTCTGTATGCATTGGAAACAGACTGTGAGCATTCACGTTCACCTACATGTGCACAGTGGTCTTGGTACCTGTGTACACAACTCTCACATTTGCCCCAATTGTTTATGTAAACTTGTTAAATGAGTCATTCACCTCAACTTCTGCTGAATTTCGCAAAAGCCGTGCAAGCTGAGCCGGCGGGGGTGGTGTGTGAGATGTGAAAAATGATTGTAAATATATTTTTTAAGAGATTATCATGTCACGACATCTGATGGGGCAAGATGCAACGTGACTGAAATACTCTCCTCTCATCCTCTTGTCTCTTCTCTTCCTACAACTTTCCTTTCCGGCTTTTTTTCCAATTCATTCCAGCTCAGTTTGCTGCTTTTATGAAACAAAACATGCTTGTAAGGAAAAATCTTCCTCCTGGCACCCCTCCTTGTATTTTTGGTAAGTGTCTATCCCTCTTCCTTTCTCTTTCCTCTGTCTCTTTTCACTCCTTTCCTTTCTTCCATTGCTCTAATTTTATATGAATGTTGCGTACTAAAACACTCCACTGCACTAAAACACCTAAACAGAATGCTTGGAATTTTACATTTCTTAAACTCTGAATAGTAAATTTTATATTGCAGAGCTCATTTTAAAGCAGATTTACATTAAAGACAATGGAAAGTTTTGTAAAAATGTAAGACTTAAAATCAATGGTAGGGTTACATAAGGATAAGAGCCCCAAGGTTTACATCACCTCAGCAGTCTATTCAGTATCTGTGTTTATGTGTGTTTGTGTGTTGTGGTGCAGTGCCAGTGACCAGCGATCAGATGGAAGGCCTTGACAGAGATGAACTGAGGTCCCATGGCAAGAGGAGACAAACACCTAGTCCCACGCCAAGCAAAGCCTCCAAGAGAGCCAAGATCAAGGTCACCATTGTTTCCCAAAGCGAGTCAGCAGGGGGCGCCATCAGCCCTGCTGCACAGGAAGGTACAAAACCTGGTTCCTTGTTACTTCATTACCTACATATGAGACTGTTTAATCAGCAGTTTGATACATACTTTAGTGGATTAATTCTGTCTTCTTTAAATATTGAGAAAACTTGTATGGGCTTTTTTAGTGGTTTGAGTAAACAGATACTGTCCTAGTCTGTCCTTCTTTGTTGTCTTGTGGTTTGATAAAATCAATCCAGGCCAGACAGGATGGAAAAAGTCTGAATTTTTGAGCAGCTCACATTCATACAGATCTCTATCTATGGAATGATAATGGGAGCAATGTGTTTTTTTGTGGTATGCAATATAAAGTGAAAGTAGGACTTTTCAAAACCACGAATTCTTGAAAAGGATGGTACCTGTCATGCATGACTAGCCAGCATCCAAAGACAATCACTTGATGTATCTTTTTCCCCAAAGAGAAATAACTGACTCTCCTGATATTCTCCATGCAGTGGGTGCCTCTGGGAAGCCATTAACAGTGACAATGGGACAGACTGTGGCTGGAGCCAAGGAGCTCTCTGGACTTCTTACAGGCCAGCGGTAAGCTAGCCGGCCTTTCTACACACAGGCACATTCAGTGTAGAGCGCTTAAACCCCTAACCCACACCCACTCTCACCCTGTTGGACAAAAGTGTGACTGGTGCAGAGGGATTGATGAGTGGTGTACTCAAGAGTTGGGAGCTGAGTGATGGCCAAACAGCACTTGCTGGGGTAGCTCCTGAGTAGATTGGTGGTTATGTGTGTCACTGCAGGTCTGGTAGTCTCTCAGAGGTGTCTGGTGCCCTGTCCCCAGGCTCCAGCTCATTCAACAGCGTGCAGCCTTGCATGGTGTCAGGGTCCTCCACACCAGTCCAGGCGCAAGCTCCGGCTACTGCCCAAGGTATCTCTGTCCTGTCCTGCCCTGCACGCCTGTTTGCGCTCTCAACTGTGCAGCTAATCTCAGCGCAGTAGCCTCAACACAGTGCAGTTCTAACCGCTTTGTAGAGTGAGATTAAAGTTTTGAACACCAGATGAGAACAGTGTGTGAGGACAACATAATTAAGCAAACATTGTCATTGATCACCTCTTGCGCCATTGCTGTCTGTTGCTGTCCCAAACCTTACCCTTTGGACATGACTCATATGGTGTGTTTGTGCGCGCGTGTGTGTCCATCTAGTTTAGGCCTGTGGGTGGGATTGGGTGGGAGCAGTTTTTAAAAGTAGGATTTGTTGTGTAATATGTCCTTGGTATTGTTTTTACTTGAATTTCAGCTTCATTGATTGTCTTTGTGTTTGTATACAGCGCCTTCCGCCAGCAGTCTGCTACAAGGCCTAAGTTTCAGTCTTCAGGAGATTATCACCAAAGCTCCTAGCCTGCCCTCCACAGCAGCGAACACAGGCAGCACCCAGGTACATTACATGGTACATTACATAAAGGTTTGAAGGACTATAATGAAAGTTTTGCTTTTTTTTTTTTTTTTAGGTCCATTCATAATGAAACGGGGGGAAACACTGGTTTGATTGGAGCCTGTAAATAGTGTGTATGGGAGAATAAACATTAGATACAGTATCATGTATCTGTACAGTATACTGTACAGTACATCTACAACAGTAAATACATAATTCTGTTTATTTACAGACTCAGTTGCCAGTTCATTAGGTTCACCTAGCTAAAAAAAAAAAAAAAAAAATACACCAGTCCATGTTCCCAGTTCATTAAGGTTATAATGCACAGTTTTTGTGTAGTGTTTTAAGGAGGTCTTGATTCAACCTTATTTTAATTTTTGTGTAGCTTGTGGTACTGTTGAATTGTGTTGTTAGACTTTGTTGTTAGAGAGTGGTTTCAGATATTTTGCCCACTCCATTTACATCAATATGGGTTGACTAAATATTACAAATACGTTGCAGTTTTATCTTGGTGTACCTAATGAAAATGTGCAGACTCTCACTGATGGGAGGAAAAATCCATCCACATGAGGAAACCCTGAACTATTTGTTTGTCTTCTCCTCCTCCATCCCCAGGCGGTTTGTGGGAAGCCCCAGGGTCAGGTCCTGAGCTCTGTCGGTACCAGCAGCAGTACTCTGCTCCGGGCGGTGCCTGTGGTCACCGCAGGAGGAGTGGCTAAAACCACTGCCATCCACCAGCTGCTCACTAATGGCGGGTTGGCCAAACTTGCCAGCAGCTTGCCCGGCTTGGCGCACATCACCAATCAGACTGCTGGTATGTCTCGAACTGCCAAAACACGACGGCCACGTTGAATGCCCAGGGTTCATTCTTCCTTTGTTTTGGAAACACTAGATCAGGACGTCTGTAGGCCAGGGAGGATTGTTGCAGTAGAGGATCGTAGAGGACAGCTCTGTCGACTTGTCTGTAGATAGTTTGCCTGGAACTGTTGTAACGTTTGCGGGGTCAGATGTGCAGCTATACAGCATCCTAGGGCAGATCAGCGGCATACAACAATGTTTTGTGTTCATGTTTAAATAGAACCTTACGGGAAATGTAAGGTCAGATTTTTGAGTTCCCAGCTTATGTTTGACACATAATGTTTACGTAGAAATGGATGCAAAATGCAAAATGTAAAATATAAATGTATGAAACCATTTCATACAGAAGCATTGTGAAATTAAGTCAAAACCAAGCTGTCATTTCATATTTGTGTTGATTTTGTTTGCCTCTTCATGTGGTAACATTTTTGCAAACCCTTCCATTCAATCACCTGCTTATAATATCCATAAAGATGAATGCTCACCTCTTCCAGAGAAGTGTTGAAAAGCAATAACAGTATTAGTTAGTATGGCCTTACCCAAGCTCTGTTATTGTTGTTACAATAAAGACTGGAATCAAACATGTTTTCATTGCTCCTGTATTTTTTTTCTTTTAGTGTGAATCAGTTGTATTTCTCACCCCCCCCACCCCCCACCCAACTAAATCTTCAAATTTACTTTTATTTCTCATTGTGTTGCTTGTCCAATGCCCTGCTATTGTGTTTAATTTGCTATTCTAACCACAAAGCAAACTTTTCTAACATTCCATCACAACTTTTGTGGCAAAGTGAAATGCTCAAGTCCATCTTAGTGTATTTTGGGGATTAGCATGTCTAGCTGTTACTGCTGAGCATTTTTGTCTGTGTGTTGTCAGTAGGGCAGAAAGCCCCCACTTCTATAACAGTGACACTTCGAGGAGCGCAGCCGAGTAGAGTGGGATCTCTCAGCCAAGTTGGTGAGGTTGTGACGCCAGCTCGTACCCATGAGCCCAAGGTGTGTCTCATTAAAGTGTCTATTGGGCACATTTTACTTGGAACGTTTCATTTGCTTACTTGCTGTTATCTCTAACGTGATAGCACATATTAGTGTATTGGATAATGGATAATGAAGAAGCTGCTCTATAGCCTAATCGTCTTTGTAATTAGCATACATTGTAAATGACACACAAATAAGCTATAACTGCACATACTGAGGATTGTAAATGAATAAACAAAAGCTGGTTTGTTTTTTATTGTTTAAAATGACACTGATGACAATATTTAAGTGTAGTCTATGAGCTTGTTTTATTGAACAGCTGTCATCTCAGATCCCACTTATTTTAAAGTGACAAGTATTTGGGCAGAACGGTTAAAGTTAAGTAGTCATTTCTCATATTTTGAAATCATAAGAATTTGCATTAAAAACCTGCCATGACTGCAGAGTAAAAGTGACTTCCTCAGTTAAGTATTATCTTAATCTGTCTTAATAGGAAGCTTTGTACAAAAGGAGGCTGCTCCTCTGAAAATGCTCATCTGATCTGGCTAAAAATATACTCTCGCTATTACTGAAAAATACCATACTCACTCAGTTCTACAACCAAAGACGTACTGTGTAGTACATGTCAAGCATTTCTTTTTCCTTATGACTTTAATATAAGTAGATTTGAGTTAATTAATTTTACTGTGCCCTTTTACAGCAGTGAAAATCTCAGATCACGGTTTCCATGTGGTGATACACCTGATGTAAGCTGGTGCTGTGCCAGAGGCATCTGGGAGCCACAGCCTGCTGATGAGACTGTACCCTCCCTGTAATGATGTACACACCACGCTGCCAAAACGAGCAGAACACCTGCCTCACATCCTCCAGAGTACTCTCCTGTCGAGATGCTTGAAAAAAGCCTGGGAGTCACTGTCGGTTGTGGATGAGCCGCTACCATGCTTAACCTCTGTGTACATATGAGTAGCATTGACTCGCCAAAATCTGTGCTCTCTTCTTTCATCCTTAACTTTGATAAGAAAATGTTGACAGCCAGATACACAGCATGGTCACATGTTATCCTTTAGGGAAGAAGTAATATCATAAGTGGATAAACTGCAACCTCCCTGGACTGTGATAATACAACTGTAAAAGGACAGATGTGCAACTCTTGGTGCTGACTATACACCAACAGTGTATTGCAACAACAAAATGCTGTTTGATTGTATATTAAGTTAAAATCCCTTTCCCACCATCTCTGCTACAGTATCTATGATTAACATGAATGTGTGTCAAGCATTTTGATGTCACAGCTGGATATTTCTGAATATCCCTGTATTTGTGAAGTAACTAAATTTGAATGTTAGTCATTGCTTTGATATTATTTATCACAGTAATTATATCATCATCATTATAGTAATTTGTCATAATAGTTGCTTTTTGTGTCGCAGCTCTCTTTCACCATGACAAACAACTTCACTCTATGATATGCCTAAAACGACATTGAGTAAGAACTACATTTCAGGTCACCATTGGTCATAATCATGTGATTGCAGAAGCTACAGTATATTATCAAAGATACCTGGCGTTGACTGTGCACCTGTGCAATGCTCACTTTAAATAATATGTACTATGCACACAAAAAGCTGCAATACATGAACAGGTCATGGCTGTCAGTATTTATGATGAATGGTATTTGCTACATTTCCTCTATAGCCTTGTGTCTCATAGTCTAAACTACTGTATAAGGCAGTGTTTCCCATCTGCGCTGTGTCATCACTTCACTGTATTAGGACTTTTTGTTTTAAACTGCCAAAGTAAGAAAAATTGATTTGCCAGAAGTTAGTCAGCTTTGTTCCCAGTTGCTAATCTAAAAACTTGGTTCTGTGTGTTCAACCCTTGTAGCATTGAGTAAGTTGAGTGACTCCTCTTATTCAAAATATAATGGAGATTACTCTCATGCATGATAGTTATACTCCTGTGTTTACAGCAGAAGCATAAATACAGCCCATTCATCTCAGCAGACATCCTGTCCTTAAATTCCTCACATAGGCAGCAGTCAGATAAGATAAAGAGAGAAGTGTGTCGCTTTCCTCTTATATAAGCCAGAATTTGTATGTAAAAGGAGGGGACAGGATAACTGATGCCAGACAGAGAACAACAGAGCTTCTGGCATAGCCTCCTGTCATCATCACCAGTGGATATTCAAGCAGTCCATTTGAACTCTCTCCATCCAATCTCCACTGCTGTTCAGTTTTTGTTATTTTCTTCAGAAATTAGTTTGATGTGCATGGAATCGGGTGAGATTGGTTAGAATATTTTTCACCTTGTGAAGTAAGATTTCTGTATCTGAATATAGGCTACTACTAGTCTTTTAGGGGGAGCCAAAAAGTAAGACCATAAGCCACTGAATATACTGTACACTGCAGTGTTTATACTGGTGATATACTACATTAAACTAGATCTAACTACATTCAATGTTTATACTCACAGGAGTTGATAACAAACAATAACAAACAAAAACAGGGCACTGTTTATTTGTATACATTCAGCAATATATCTTAAAGTACAAAATAAAAGCAGAAAGTAAAGAAAATATGAAAAAAAGACTCACCAATTATATATATAATTAATGTTATAAATAAATGTAGGCTACAAACGCAGGTGAGTATTCTAGTTAAATGACGATCTTGAGACAGCACTGCCAGAAAATAACTACTACTAAATTATTAAACAAACAGACTATCAGGACATATACCTACCTTTCGATTTACAATCTCTGCGTATGAAGTTCAGTAAATTGCCTACAAGTGGCGCTGTAATCTCTTCAACTGGCTCGAGACTCCTTGTATGTGGTTAAAGCCTTTTTAGGGTCAAGCGCAGTCTGTTTGTTTATTTTATGTGAGCGCGTGTGCTTGTGATAGAGCGATAGAATAGAGTGAGAATAATTGTGCGTGCGTAAGCAGTGCGCGTTTCTGCTAGGTTGTCTCGTGCGCTCGTGTGTGTTTAAAAAAAAAAGGAAAGCTAAGAATTTAAAGTGTAAAAATATCCGGAAAATAATAACATGAAATTGTCATGTAGCTAAGTACAGTTTAATTTAAACTTTTGAATTTTACGTACTTAACAAAATGAGAACAACGGCTCCATTTTTCACAAGCCCTTGACCCAGGGAGCTAAATATGATTCAATCTTTAATCCGGTCGATTTAATATTGAAATATGGTCTGCTAGTGCAAACAGGGCCGTGGAGACAGCAAAGGGGAATATATCACCACAGTTTTCATTCTTAACAAAGACACAGTGAACCAAACTAGTCCACTGAAGCTCCTCAGGGACCCCTGATGAACCAACGAGAGAGCAATAAATATGCACACGGGCATCACCGAATAAAGGGGCATTTTCACCGCCCCTGTGAAGCTGCCATATCATCAAAGTTTCTCAGGCAGTACTTGCACTAGCCTGGAGCTCCGGCTGAGAGAGAGAAATCACTGCCCCCAGAGCCAAGAAGACACCGGAGAGAGGCTGCATTTAAAACCCGCCCTCCGGAGGTTTCTCGTTTCCCCCTAAAAACCTCCCATTTTTTTCTCTCTCTCTCTCCCTCTCTTTCTCCCTCTCTCTCTCTCTCTCTCTCTCTCTCTCTCTCTCCCTCTCTCTCTCTCTCTCTCTCTCTCACTCTTCTCTCTCTCTCTTTACCTCTGTCCCTCTCTCGTCCCTCTCTCTTCCTTTACCTTTATCCCTCGCTTTTCGCCGTTTCCCCCACCACAATCATGGATCTCACGGCGAGATGTTTGTTCCTTCTGTCCTGTCTCGGCGTGATATTGGCGATCGATTTGGAGGCGATTGATCCAGGCTACTATGTGGAGCCCACTGCCACATCAGAGGCGATCGACTATAAGGATCCCTGCAAAGCTGGTGAGATTTCCCCCCTTCTTTTTTTGTAGTACGCTTGTGTGATTTACCTTATTTATGTGGAGGTAGAAACATGCCACGAATCTGTTTGTGGAGCTTGCTGAGATCAGCCACAGAAACGCTTTTAGAGAAATGACAGTAGTGGATGTAGTTTTTAAAAGGTTTGAGAGAACATAATGTGCATTTGTTTTATACTGAGTGACATAGTTTCTGCAGTTTGAAACATTTGAAGCACACAGTCGCCTAGAATAACCTAGCTCGGAGAGTGGCTGCAAGGATTGTAAGAATGAAAATAAAAAGGGATGAGTCTCTGAATACATTTCCCGAGACATAAAAAGTTTTGGCTTAAGTGCTTGTTGAAAAGTTACAGCCTTCTATTTGCGGCAAATGCACTTTTTATTCTTCAAAACGTGATCATGTAGTTCCTGCTGGCTTTTTCCTGTGTAGCTATTATTAAAAAAAGTCTGAGCTGCCGGGAAAACAAAGGATTACTGCACTTTGATTTTAAGACTTCTGCTCCCTTTCTGGTTGTTTTTTTTGTCACTGCACAAATAGTCTTTTTTTCCACCGGCTGTTCACACAGCCACTAAAACAAAGTGGAGGAGGGGAGAGGGAAGAGTACAGTGGAGCTTAGAAATTATGCACACATTATTCTGTTGGCGGTTGTTTTATGGCTCAAAGTATAAATATGTCTGCTTCTTTTTGCTGTGGAGAGACCTGCATATTTTCCCAGTATTTGGCCGAAGCATATCAGACTTGTCATTGTAATCTTTTTTTTTTTTTTCTGTACTGTGAACTCACTGTCTTGCCAAATCCCTTTGGGGGAGTTTGAACAGATTGTGTTTTCCATCTGGTGAAAGTATTCAGGTTACAGATACAGAGAGTTGGCTTGAGTCAAAATGACCTCTACAGTCCTGGAAGTACAAACTGATTTGGCATTTGACAATTTCTGATGTGGCAGCCGATTATAAAGCACAATTCAGTTCTTCAGCTCTCAACTACCCACCTATCTGTTTTCTTCATCATTCCCCTGCAGAAGTGAGAGGAGAAGTGTCAAGGGAGACGCAAAAATGGTTCTTTAGGAGTATTGTGGGTTTACATAAACATGACAGAGGTCAGACTGCAGATGAACCATGCCCTAAGTACAAGTCAGTGAAGATGTTGCTTCCTGTTTTTACTTCACTGTTTACACTGATTCATTCAAGTGGTCAAACCAGGTTGTTTTACATCATTATGATGAATTTACAGGATGCTGACGTGGTGTTCTGATGACTCCTTAAGGCTGAAAACTAAACTGACGAAGGTTTGACAGCGATGTGTTTATATTACTCTTATGCTGTTCTCAAGAAATCATTGATATAAGTGGAAATGTCTCAGCAGGGACAGTCCCACTCAATAATCCCCAGTCATGACTGGTGTTTGTCTTGTCTGTGAGGATGTTATCATTATTAGAAATCCCATTTTAAGTGTCATTTGAATAGAGCATAGTTTTGTTTATGGTTTCCTCTGGGACCGTCTGCAGACAGGTGGTTGGGAGACGGTCACAAGTACAAACTCCTACTCTCTTAACCCTCCCAGTCTCCAGCTCTTCCAACACCCACCTGCTTTTCTCCTTCCTACTAAGCAGCAAAATGTCCAAGATCTCTCAGCTCTCCCTTTTACTCCTCACTCCTCCTCACTCAGTTGATGCACCAGAGACTAAATTTTCCACTATAGTCAACTCCATACTAGCGTCAGTAGACCCAGGTAAAGAGTAGATGTTTTGTGGGTTATTGATTTTTTTTTTCTATTTGATCGCTTTCTGTGGCCTTGAGATCAGCATTTTTGTGTCACGCTGCTTCCGCTCAGGAAAATGCTTACAGCCGTGTGGAGTTTCTAATGCAGTAGAGGAGCTCTGTGAGGAGTGCATTTCAGGTTTGTCCTCTGTAGGGCTGTCCTTGCTTAACACTGTTTCAATGACAGGGTCTTTTTTTGCAGTTGATTGGGGGAAACAAGTGTAAAATTGTTTTTCTGATGTTCTCTTGGAAGTGAATATAATGACTCCCATTCAGGTACTTATGACTAACAAGACGACGGGAGAAATGTGTTTTCATACTCAACTAATTTGTGATGGCTAATCAGTTGGCTAATTGACCAAGTGGTGACCATTTCATTTCATTTCCTCAGTACTTTATAAAAATGCACTTAGGGAGTTCTTCATTTCTTACCACAACTCATGTACGCTACTCCTCCCCAGTTTAACAAAAAAAATCCCTCAAAAATATTCACATTTACAAAGGATTAAATAACTCTTCAATATACCAGACATGATAGAAATGTGCATTGATTGGAGTGAGCAGTGCAATAACACTGAAGTAATGCCATCTATTTAGGAAGTTAACCAGTGGAAAATTCCTTAGTTTGCAGAACTCCAAACTTGGCAGCGTCCCAGGAAGTCATTTAAGACTCTAACAACCCACTGAGATTAGATCCACTCATTTTCAAAATGAAAAATGGATGAGAACCAGT